AGGGCCAGAATCTCACTTGGGTCTGCTTCCAGAGCCTGTGCTCCCAGCCCTGCACTGCACTGCCTTCTGCCACATATGTCAAATCTGTCACCCCTAATGCTTTCCCAATGGTATCAATGTCTTACATTACTGAGCACCTATATTACTGTGTATACCAGGTATAGTTTAAATGCTTACTGTATTAACACTTAACCTCACGACAATCCTATACTTATCTTTCAGATGAGAAAGCCAAGGCACAACAAAGTTAACAACTTGCCTGAAAATAAACTGCTACAGAGTGGAGGTGGAGCCAGGATTCGAACCCAACCTAGTTCTGAAGCCCATGCTCTAACCGCTACACTTGTCGCCTTCGTTACTGTCATTGTTAGCATGTGCCACAGTTGCAGAATAATTAGCAATTGTTTTCATGCCTTATCAAAAGCAAAAAAGTATTACCACTTAGACAAGACATCTCATGTAGAATCCAGAAAGTTTTTGTAAGTTTCAATTTACAAATAATAATTGTGTATATTTACGGGGTACAATGTGATGTTTTGATGTATGTGTATATTATAGAAAGCTAATTAACACAGTCATCACGTCAACAACTTAGCATTTTTTGTAGTGAAAGTGTTAAAAATCTATCCTCTTAGCAATTTTGAAATATATACTAATAGCTAATAGCTGTGGTCCCTATGCAGTGCAGTGGGCAACTGAAACTCATTCCTCCAGTGTGAAGCTTGGCGCCCTTTGATCAACAGCTTCCCTGCCCCTACTCCTCTCGTCCGGTTCCACACTAAGTGGAATCACACAGCACAGGCTCCACTGACCACAGAGGCCTTTTCACTCTTACTCAGCAGGTAAGAGTTGTCAGAGCAGAAACTTACATGAACTCACTCACGTTATCATAACACAATGGGATAGACAGGGCAGGCCTTTAGGCCACTGGCCTAAAGAGGCAAGTTGTTTGCTGTCATACAGCTGGCTGACAGAGAAACTGAACACAGATAAGTGTCATATCCTTTCCAGCGGGACACACTGAGCCCTGAGCACTTCCTTACTGTGATATGGTAGTAGCCCTGGGTTTCTTCCTTTCTTGCACTTTCTTTATCTGACTTGGGGCTTGGGGGTGATCCTCAGCATGTTTCACGTTCTGAGAAGCGTGCAGTACAGTGAAAAGTAGAGGGAAACTGAGGCCAGAAAAGTTGACCTCTATCTTCACCTTTCCCCTCACCTACAAAATAAGAAGAGCCATCTTCTTACCTCCTGGGGGTGGGGTTGGGAGTGGCACATCTGACACTTGTGGGGTGCTGTGATGGGACATCAGAGTTTGGAGGGGTCTGCATTTGTCCTCTATAGTCCTTAGTTATGTGGTCCCTTTCTGCCTCATACACATCTGAGCTCATCAAATGATTCCCGTGTGGCTTCTTTGTCAGGGTTATTTTGGGTTGAGATATTAGATTATTAAAGTGTCTCATTTGGGCTGAGCCTAAACTTCTTCCTCTTAGATGTGAAAATTCACTTTCTCAGAATCTCTCAACATTTGCCTTCCTAAAACATAACGAACATATAACACACAACTTACATATACATATAACATAGCCCCAAACTTAAACTCTTACTGTACTTAGACTCTGTACAATTTAGGTTAGCTCTCAATTATATAACTTTCTATATTTTCACTGTTTCAGATACTGCCTCTTTAATTCTATTCATATGCAACTGGAGGAAAATGACTATGTTTTATATTATACGTTTGTGAACCCACGGTACGTGGCATTGAATATAACTGACAAACCGACAAGATTTTATCTTAAACTTCTCAGACTTTAATTACATCATGAGATCATAGAAACTCAGAATTGGAAAGGACTCTAGACTTTGTCGTGTAGTCTAACGCCCCCACCAGGGCAAAGTTTTCCTGCACATGGCCATCCAGCCTCAGCCTGAACAGTCCAGGGTTGGGAGCTCACTCATCTACAGGCAGTCTGTTCTGCTGTAAGATGGCTCTCTGCCCATCTGTCCCCTTTTATGAAAACAATAAATTGTCAAAACATACATCATCAGAGTCCTCTGCGAAGAGATGGAAGGTAAGTCCTGCCACTTGCTCTCCACCAATCCTGTATGCAGTCCACTGTAAACCAAAGCCCCAAGGGGCCTTTCGAAGCACTACATGATCTATACATAACTACTCCACTTACTTGCTCTCTGTTGTCTGTGTGTGGTGCTGGAGGTGGAACTCAGGGATTAATAGATGTTAGGCAGGCGCTCTACCACTGGGCTATGACCCCAACCCTCACACTGAATCTCAATTTCTTTATTTGTAAATGGGATAACAATTCTGACCTCATAGATCATTGCAGAGTCTACACAAGACAATGAGCTCAGTGAACGTGAGCTGGGGTGAATGGGGAGTGGCAGCAATGCCAGCCTAATGGGAATAAGGCCACAAGCCTAGCAAGGCCCCATGTGAGAGGAACTGCAGCAGTGCATCTAGCGGGAAAAGTAAGGGGGCTCAGAGAAGGGCAGAAGAGCATTTTTGGGAAGGATCTCTGAATAGGAAACTCTAAAGCAAAAATTTCAATGTTTGCAACCCTGGAGAGAAGAGGGTCGGGAGGACCACCTAGCAAAACGCACAGTTTGACATGAGTTTGTGAAATCCAGAATAAGAGTAGCCCAGCAGCAGGCCTAGGAAGAGCTCTGCTGCAATTGCAAGGTCACACTGGAAGCCAAAGAGCCCATGAGGGCAGTAAGTGACGTGGGTGATGCTGACCTTCACTATCTATTTGCTGTGGTTTCTATTTTTGTTCTGTTTCATTCTGGATTTCTAACTGGCATATCTGGCTGTTATCAGAACTGCTGTTCTGTATCGCCTATCCTAACAGGTTGTTTCAAACCTCTAACGGGCCAGCTGATTTCATCATTCATTTACTCACTCGTGTACATCTATCCACTAAATAGTCACAACAACCACTGACTGGACTGGGCTCTGGAGACATAGCCATTGCTTTTAACAGGTTTATAGACTTCTGGCATAAACAGATTAAAAAAACAGCTCTTACACTCGACAGATTCTAAGTACCACAAGAGAGGCATGAGCAAAATCCTGTGCCAGGGGTTGAGAACAGAGCAGACCAGGCTGCATTTGGCTAGCAAATGTTTTGCTTGGCCCACATGGTGTTTTACTTGTTTTTTTCCAATTAAGTGCCAACACTTAAAAATTAGGACATTTCACATTAAAAACCCAGATTCCTAGCTTCTGGTGAGAATAGGAGGATCTGGGCGCACCAGGCCAAGTTCCTGCACGGTAGTAGTTGGCAGAAGCACAGCAGCAGCTTCCCCTTTCAAATAGAGGCCTTGCCACTCTCTCTTGCTCTCTGACATCAAAGCCAAGTGCCCAGTTGCCAGTTATCACCAGCCTGTGCTGTGAGTACTTTAATAACAGAGTGAAGAAAGAAGTACAAAGAATTTCACTTTTTACAAAAATATGCATTAAAAGTTGAAATGAAAGATACACTGACAAAGAGACATGTTTCAAGTAGGCTACAGAATAATATTCCTAGAGGCCGGGCTTAGTGATACCCTTCTGTAATCCCAGCTACTCTGGAAGTAGACTGTGGGCTAAGTTTGGCTAGGACAACAGCAGGAGACCCTACCTGAAAAACAAAAAAAGCAAAAGGAGTGGAGGAAGGTGGGCATAGCTCCAGTGGTAGAACATTTGCCTAGCAAGTTTAAGGCTCTGAGTTAAATCCTCAGTATTCCTAGATAACAGGAAAAAACACCTCCCATCTATGTTACCTGCTGACTCCTACAGGCAGTTGCATTTGCCACCTCTGTAACACTTGGGAAATTAATGTAGTGGCTGAAAGCACTTGCTTTGGAGTGAGGATCACCTAAACTTGAAAGCTGGCTCCACCACCCACTGTGTGGCCTTGACAAATTATCTGTCTTCTCTGTGCTTCAGTGTCCTCATCCGAAAAACAGAGGTAAGTGTAGTACCTATCTCAGAGGGCTGCTGTGAGCAGATGATGAGGTGTAAGTGCTTAGTGCAAAGCACAAAAAGGGAGTGATCATCCCCTAAGGAAGACTGCAGGGATGTTCAGGATGTCAGTGTGAGAACAGAAGTATGCTACAGAGAGAAAGGCCTCAGAAAAGAAAATGGCAAGTTCCCTGTCCCTGGAGCCAACACAGACTTCACCACCACGCTCAGCTGAAAGATGCTGAAATCAGGCTGAGGAGAACGATCCCGTAGGTCAGTATGTCCCCAGAGATACCACTGTGTGATGGATTCCAGTGATAGAAACAGGAGAGGACGTGGAACAACCTTAAATCATGAAGATGAGAAAGTCATTCTCTTCCGGTTCCTTTTCCAGCTTTCTAATTAGGAGGTCTTGGCCTGACGCTCATCTTAAGTTGTCGATCTTGGCTGTGAAGGTCTAGCTGGAGACCCATTAGCCCTCATGCCAGAAAGGCTCGCTGGCAACAGCCTCTAGCTACAACTTAGGAGCACTGTTTTGCTTTTCCCTGCTTAAAAGTTTTACGTGCCCTCTGGCGCTTAATAGCAAAGGATACCGGCTTTTCACACGTGGAGTAATTAAGATTCCGTGTAAAATACAAACCCATATTTCAGCGAAAATAAGGGAGACAATTTGGAGAAACATGTCAAGCAAACAGGGCTATGGGTAATCCGTGGACGTGGCAAAAATTGTGAGGTTGAGAAACACTGTGGTGGGTGCGAGATGAGCTCAAGGGGGATTTTGAGGCCGGAGAAGACGGGACGGTGATTACGTACGACCCACCCCAAATCCCCCCCACGCCCCGCCAGCGGAACCCTCTGCCCCTCTCCAAGCCTCAATTTCTCCACCCACCCACAGTGGAGGGTCACATGCAGCCTCCAGGCCTTGGTCCACAGGCCCAGGCCGCAAGCCCGTTGCCCTGGCAACCATGGCGGTCACGCAGCGGCTCCCGCCATACCGGAGCTCGACCTCCCGCTTCTCCCCGACTGTCCCGCTCCTCACCACTGATCGATTTTAATTTTCCATTTCAACGAGGTCCTCATCGCAGCTTCCCTCACGCCTTAGGCCCCTCCTCCCCAGATTCAGCCACAGGATCCACTCCGCGAACCACTTTGGCTACCTGCGCTACCCCTGGCAACGCACATGCGCAGTGAGCCTCGCGCGCGTGTAGCTCTGACTACGCATGCCTAAAAGGGGGCCAAAGCTTAGATGGAACGCGAGCCCAGAAGAGCGTGCACGATTGGCCATGGAGTGTGGGGTAGGCGGTGCCGCTTCGCAACGAGTGATTTGATTGGCGGAACCATGTAAATGGCGGCTGTGGCGGAGGAGGTGGTTCTGAACCGAAGTTTTCACATCTTAGGTCACTCCGTACCCGGGACGTTGCACCTCTTGGCTTGTTGCCGCAGCCCGAGCCCACTGGACTCTCACAGCTGCGATGCAGAATCTAAGCCTTGGGAACGGCGGAGCTACCCCATCGGTCGCTTCCAGTGAGAGCCTAGCTCCTGACCGACTTTGTGACCTCCGGCAAGTTCTCATCCCCCCCCGGGCCTCAGTTTCACCACCTGTAGAATGGGAGCGGGGGAGTCGGTTCCCTGGACCCGGAGGCCGGCAGGTGTAATTACTAGGTCTGATGATGTCTCCTCCCGTGGGAGCAGCCCTGGGCTGTGCCAGTCTTCCTTGCCCAAATTGACTCGGGTGCTGGGAGGAGCAGGACGGGGGAGGGGGGGGGTGTGAAGGGCAAGTAGAGGTCAGCTTGGATGGAGGATCCTAGGGAGATCTCGGAAAAGATGGTCGGCACCCAGGGACGCCCCAGAAACGGGTCTTAGAAAAAGGAACAGAGGAAGGTACCGCTAATCGTCTGCTCGCATAGGTGTGATGGGAGGCTAAGATGACTTAACCCTCACAGTTTCCTTAAAATCGGTATTATTCCTTTTTACAGAAGAAGGGAGACTTTGAGAGCTTAAGTTATTTGCTCTCAGACGCACAGCTAGTAAATGGTCCAGCTGGGATTTGAGCCTAGTTTCGACTTCAGAGTTAATATACTTAGAGATAAGAAAACCTTTATTTCATAACCTCCATCTAGCACCCCAAATGACATCAGACTACCATGATTCTAATTCTAGTTCATCACTCTTTCTTGCTTGGTTTCCCTATTTGTCGGAAAGATGACCCCTGTCGATTCATCCACCTTTTAAAATATATGACTTTACTGAAGTTTTTTTTATTCAAATAGTACAGAGGAGAAGTACGAGACCATGATTTGATAGACCCAGGACCTGGTATCAGCTCTGCAAGTGATTTAACCTTTTCATCACTCAGTTTTATCAACAAAATGGGAGTAAATCTTACTCTGCTACCCACCTCACAAAACATTTACCATGAGAATCGAGATGAGATTTGAGTGATGTGTACCTCAAATTCCCACACTTGGGAGACCAAGGCAGGAGCATCCTGCATGTGAATCCCAGGCCAGCCTGGGCTGTACAGGGAGACCCTATCTCAAAAGAGAAAAACAAAAAAGAATGAAGGATATTTGAAAAAAAAAAAATTTTTTTTTTTTTTTTTTGGTGACACTGGGGTTTGAACTCAGGCCCTCACTCTTTCTAGGCAGGCGCTCGTACCACTTGAGCCACTCTTCCAGACTGATATTTGAAATTTTTTGTCAGAAATTATTTACCCTTCAGAGGGTTAACAACATCTGATGAAAGCTGTAGACACTCTCCCTCAGAAAAATGCATCTGTAGGTAAAGTTTCCCCTTGCTTATTTGCAGAAGAGGGGCTTGATTCCCTGATTGCTTTAAGCAGTTGTGTTGCTCCCAGGTTAAGGGCTCAGCTCTTGGCTCACATTCTTAAAGTCACCCGAAATCTTTATAATAGCCCTATTGGATGATTAACCCAAAAAGTTTTAGCAAGTAGCTTGAGGTTTTCACTGAGATTTCAGAGATTTTCATCATTTTTGAACCCAGGTTGGAGGACGAGAAGATACTCTCATGCTTGTCCATACTCTCAGGACTTGTCCATACTGACTTCAGTCTCCCCTATTTTAATCTGAATGGTCCATGGGTTTCCTCCACTGTCATGGATTGTCACTGAATAAACAGAGGAAACTAAATCTCAAATGTCAATCCCTTGTGTTTTATTTTCCCAGCAAGGAAGATGTTGTGGTGGGGTTGGGAAGAGTGGGAGAAGAAGGAAAACAAACGGTGATAAAAAGAAGCAGTGAATGTGACCCCCTCCCACAAGAACCCACTGCTGCTCCTCAGTGTGGCAGTACTGCAATGACAGAGGGCCACCGGCCTGTCCCGTGTGGATGGGAACGAGTTGTGAAACAGAGGTTATCTGGGAAAACAGCAGGAAGGTTTGATGTATACTTTATCAGGTAAGCATGCATGGTGTCGAGTATAGATGGACAGACAGATCATGTTGTCTAGACAGTTGTGTGACAGCACAGTAGAGGTCTCAGTTTACTTTTATCATAAAACCACTGTGGATTCTGTTTCTTCAATGTTACTGGTTAGGTATATCACATGATTTGGGAGGCAGTTACGTTGATTTTGTCACCCTTATTATGAATGATTAATGGTGTAAGTAAGTTTTATTTTAAGCTATTATAGAGGAATGTATTTCAATGGGCCCTTTATCACTTTTTTTTAAACTTTCAAAAGACAAACATCCATGTCAAACATTTGGGAATTATTAATTAGAAATCCCTGAAATTTGAATCAATTTTTTTAAGGTCATATCTATATACTAACAGTAAATTTCCTTTAATATCATTGTTTTAGCCCACAAGGACTGAAGTTCAGATCCAAAATATCACTTGTTAATTATCTTCACAAAAATGGAGAGACATCTCTGAAGCCAGAAGACTTTGATTTTACTGTAGTGTCTGAAAAGGTTGTCAAGTCAGGGCATAAAGACTGCAGCCTGGTAGGTGTGACTTCCCAATTGCAAAATCAAAGTGACTTTTCAAACCGGAACATCAGGACACGAAGCAGGTGGAAAAAAGATATGATTCCTTTGCCAAGTAGTAGTTCAGAGTTGCAAGATAGCAGAGGACGGTCTGGCTTTAATTCCATTCACTTGCATTTGAAAGAAGATGAAGGTGTTCATAAATTCAGGAAGGTTAGTAAGTCCAGAAGAAAGGTGACAGTTTTGAAAGGAATTCAAATTAAGAAAACCAAAAGCAAATATAGGAAGAGTCTTCCAGATTCTGTTCAAAGTAATAGAAGAGAATGTGTGCCTCATAGAGCAGATGCTGAAGAGGAGCCTGTTGCTCAAGAAGACCAGCTGGATGACTCTTCCTGCAGTTCTGATGCCAAAGCAGGCAGGGAGGCCCTCAGTGTGACCGATGGAGAAGACAGCCTTGCAAAAGAAGAATTACTGAGTTCAGGATCAGACGTTCATCTTGAACAGATAACTTCTGGCATCACAAACAAATTATGTTCAACTGAAGAAGCAGACCATGAGAAGCGTGAGGATACCTTTTTAGAACAAGAGGAAACCAGAACAACAGCAGAAGATGGGGGAAAGAAGGAGCATTTGCATCTTGACATTTTAAAATGTGGCTCTGAAACGCACAACTGCTCCCTAGCCAAGAGCGACTTGACTTCTGAGAAAACATTTCAAGGTATTCAGTGCAATGAAGCGCTATTAACCATGTGACAAGGAGTTCGTACCCCTGGATCTTGTATTTCATGCCTGCAAATGGTTCAGATGTGGGAACAGGGTGAAGGGAGAGGGCCATGGTCAGATACATTCTCCCAGTTGATCCTAATATTCCTACTGATTGTTAAGCCCTGTCCTATGGCACTTGCAGGATACCCAGCAAAAGAGGTTGGTGCCTGTCAGAGCTGCCATCATCTCTCTTGGGGGCAACAGCTGGGACTTTCCTCAGCACTGCTTTCCCTCTTCGCACCCTCTTTCCAGCCAGGAGTCTTAAGACTTGAAGGAAAATTGAAAGGCTTCACTTAGGCGACATCCGTGTCTTCACACCCCTCCTGTAACTTTCTACTGATGTGTGACTTCCAATTTAATTTCGTATATATCACGATCATTTTTATCTTGATTATAATGTAATGCTTCTCTAAAAGATTCAAGAGCTCTAAATAATTCAAATGTGTAATCACATAGTTCATGTATTATTTGTGATGTCCTCTTAATACAGATTCTGAGCTTAGCAATTTTGCCTTTGTAATGCCTCAGTGAATAATAGCTAAAAAGGAGATCTTTGAGCAGCTCTGTGTTAGTTATTCACTATGCCATTAGGGTATAATGAATAACTCCCATACAGAAGAATAGTAGTTTTACTTAAAACCCTTAGGGAACACAGCGCAGACAGATTGGTAGAAGCAGGGGGGTTACCTTGGATTCCTGTCATCAATCCCACCTGTAAGTTGATCTCTTTTCTCTGCCTGGCATTTCTCTACCTTCAACAGAAAATGGCCATATATACCTAAGAGCTGCAAAGAATTCTTCAAGTCTGTCCTTAAAAGACTTGGAGCTACTTAAAGGAACCATTGGGGTTTATGTAGATTTATTGCTTGTATAATGGGCAAATTAAATATTTAAAAGCATCTTATTGTGACTAAGATGTAAGTATTCTTTTCATCCTATATTTATGGAAGTCTGGTGCTAATATAAGATTAGGTATTATGAGATTACCAGGTGTGAAGACTTCCCTATTGGCTTAGCCAGAAGTTGGCAAGCTAGTAATGAAGGAGGTTAACTAGTAGTTATAAGAATCCATAGAAGATGGTATAAAGTGGCTTGTAAGAGCAGTTTCCTTTGTGCTGTTTTTTCCTTTCAACTGGGCTTTACCTATGCAAACTAGAATAGAAAAAGTAACTAGATAGCTGAAGACCTGGACACTTGTTCCAGTGTAGAGTCAACCCCAGTGTCATTTGGGGATAGTTGCTGAATTTCCAAGCCTTAGTTTCTTCAGCTGTAAAATGGAAGCAATAACTATCACTAGTTCTATTTTCATATCAAGAATATTGTAAAATGAAGCCAGGTCTGGTGATACACACCTGTAATCCCAGGACTTGGGAGGCAGAGGCAGGAGAATCATGAGTTCAAGATCAGCCTATGCTATATAGCAAGAACCTGTCTCAAAAAAAAAAAAAAAGAATATTATAAAATGAGAAGTGAGAATGATGGCTTCACTATACAAATGCAAGATATTATTAACTGGTATTCAAATTTAGAGAGTATGGCTAAAGGGGATTTAAATATGATTTTAGAAATTTGAGAAGTCTCAGTAGTGGTGTTTCAGCGTCCAGAGCTTAGGTTTTCCTGCACTTTCTATTTTTTCTGAATCCTTGTTTGTTTGTTTTTTTGGCAAATATAATTGTCCACTGCAGAAATTTTAGAAAATATAGCAAAAAAAAAAGCAGAAAGAAAAGTTTCCACTCACCAACAACCTTTATATCATTTTGGTTTATTTCATTCTCGATTTCTCTGTATATGTGTATACATATACATCCATATACACTTATAAAATTGCGATCATATATAGAATGTTGCTTTTTTTCATTTAGAAATTAATGTCATGGAAAAATATAAGTGATATAGTCTCAAAAATATTCTAATGGCCACATTAAATATGTTATAGGTTAAAATATTCCATGCTGTTTGCAGTTTTTCAATACAGCGATCTCTGCATGAATCAGAGAGAAATAGGGTAGCTGGCAGTGTGGCTCAAGTGCTATGGCACCTGCCTAGCAAGCCCCAGGCCCTGAGTTCAACCCCAGTACTGACAGAAGAAAAGAGAACGAGGGAAACAGTAGTCAGAGGGCTGGGCTCCGGAGCCAGACTGCCACCTTTGACTTAGCTCTGACACTAGCTAAGCTTCCCTGCACCTCATTTTCCTTATCTGTAAAGTGAAGATAAAGTACTGCCTAGCTTATAGGTCATTTGTAGAATTAAATTTAAGTACTTAGAATAATGCCAGCTTTTTATTTTTCTTCTTTTTTTTTTTTTTGAAACAAGGTTTCAATATGTAGGTCAGACTGGCCTCAAACTCACAACCCTCCTGCCTCAACCTCCCAAGTGCTGGGATTATAGGCATATGCAGCAGAGAGAGATGCTGTAAACAGTGTTTCCTCTTCCTTTGCAGAAGACATCCTGCGAACACAAATAGAAAAACGGAAAACAAGCCTGTATTTTTCCAGCAAGTATAACAAAGAAGGTATCCCTTTCCCAATCAGAACATCAGATTGTTTAAGTGCATTTCAGGTAGACAGCTCTAATGCCATGTGTTTGTTTAGCTCTTAGCCCCCCACGACGCAAAGCCTTCAGGAAATGGACCCCTCCTCGGTCACCTTTTAATCTCGTCCAAGAAACACTTTTTCACGATCCCTGGAAACTCCTCATCGCGACTATATTTCTGAATCGGACCTCAGGTTTGCTGGTGATTTGTATCCATCTTAGAACAGAGTGGTTTGGAGAAAGCACTGAATTGGTTAAGAGGCCTGGTTCCAGGTCCTTTTCAGTTCTCTGTAGGTTGGCCAAGGCTTTTCTCTTCTAGCCCTCAAACTCTTCACCCATAAGAAAGTTAGACTAGGCTGGTGTCAGTGGCTCAGCCTGTAATCCTAGCTACTCAGGAAGCAGAGATCAGAAGATTGCGTTTCAAAGCCAGCATGGGCAAATAGTTCATGAGACCCTATTTCAAAAGCACCCATCACAGAAAAGGGCCAGTAGAGTGGCTCAAGTGACAGAGCACCTGCCTGGCAAGCATGAGGCCCTGAGCTTAAACCCCAGTACCACCAAAAAAAAAAACAAAAGTTAGACTAGATAACATCCAGTGGCCTTTTTAGCATTAAGTGACAGATTGTCATTTTATTCCCTACTTCCAAATTAGCTTTGGTCATCAATGAACATTTCTCTGCCCTCTGCCATATTTAAAAGCATTCTTTTTCATTGAATGCACCTCATGTTCTGTATGCTACTATGGTAGTTATCTAGTGATCTGATTATTTAAAAACCAGTACCAAGGCCAGTTTCAATGTAATTCAGCTATTAGCCAAATAGATTCTCAGTATTAATATTTGACTCTGAAAATGACTGCTGATCAGGGGACATCTTTTTGTCAGTAGCAGGACAAGCAAACCAAGCCTCTGTATGAGATTTTTAGATGAAAAAACTCCCTGAACAGGAAACCGGCCCTTCTGAGGCTTTAATCTTACAGCCATGTGTACTCCCCAGGCAAAATGGCGATCCCTGTGCTTTGGGAGTTTCTAGAGAAGTACCCTTCGGCCGAGGTAGCAAGAACTGCAGACTGGAGAGACGTGTCAGAACTTCTTAAGCCTCTTGGTCTCTACGATCTCCGGGCAAAAACCATTATCAAGTTCTCAGGTATGTTCCCCTATTCCCAAAGGAAAGAAACAAATGGAGCCTATTCAAGAGCCACCCCTTAAATGTTAATGTTCTCAGATGCTATATTAATAGAGATCATCCAGCTCAAGAACCAAAGGCATTTTAAAACTGTCTGCTTGCCCCAAACTGCAGTCTCCACCTGACCTAGGAGGCTGTGTTTGCCCACCCCTGGGTTAGGCCATGTGGGGAGAATTCGGGAGGAAGTCATCACCTCTGTCTAATTAATAGCACAAAATAACATTTAGGAAGAGGCAGGTGATGAGGGTGCTGCAGGAATACAGAAGGAAGAGTGACTGCAACCGGGGTTCCTTGGAAGGTGTCTTTCCTGTCCTGTTCTGCTGTTTCTCCACCCTGCCTCCATCACTGCCAGTTTAGGGAAGGGGTCTTCCTAGAGCTGACCTCACATGTGGGATGCTGTATTCTTCAGATGAGTATCTGACAAAGCAGTGGAAGTATCCAATCGAGCTTCATGGGATTGGTAAATACGGCAATGACTCTTACCGAATTTTCTGCGTCAATGAGTGGAAGCAGGTAAGGCTCACTCCCAGCCATAACATATCCAGCACACTTGACTCTGAGGCAAGAGAAATCCACCAATATGGTTAAAACTGCTTACTGTACAAAAGTCCTGTTGCAATCCCAACCGGTTTGTTCCCAGCTCAGAAGGTGTCGTGAAGGCAATGGCAGCAGGGTGAGGGTCCACAAACGCTCCCCAAGTCCGCAAAGACCCCCTTGATGTGGCTCTGAATGACCTCCAGCAGTTTGTCACTTCTGCCCCTGTTCCTGTCCTTCCCCATTCTTGTACAATCTCTAAGCCCGATGTGGTCTGCCTCCTGTCAAAAGGATACCACCAAAGGAAAACAGACGGGCCTGGGCTTAGAATGTTTGCTTGTGGGGTTTCTCCTAGAGTCTCAGGTGACTATGGTAACTCCAGCTGCCCCCTCATACATGGCCCTCTTAGCTTCACTCGCTGTAAAGCATTCAGCCAGAACTATGTGGTCTGGCCCAGGCTGAAGTGCCACGGCCTTCCTCTTCCTGCTCCACCAGAGCAATCCACTGTGACCTCAGCAACCCTTTTAACCTCTCAGGCCTACAGCCTCCTTCCAGAAAATGGGCTGTGACTTGACTTCTGTCATCACTACCTTCTGCTCCAGGTCTGGGTCAATTCTGAATTGGAAAGTACTTTGTAAACTGTACAGGATGACCTTAATATAAGGTACAATTTTAACCACTCATGAACACTACTTGTTTAAAGGTGATTTTATATTTCAGGTATATTATAAAGTCCTGTTTCTTTCCAAACCTTTGAAAGCCCATTTTAATTGATTTTTTTTTTTTATTATGGTACTGGAGTTGAACTCAGTGCCTCGTGCTTGCTAGACAGGCATTCTGCCACTTGAGCCACACCTCAGCCCTAAAACCAATTTTCAAAAGTGTATTTATAACTAACTTACACGACTCCTAATGTGTTGTATTTCTTCCAGGTGCACCCTGAAGACCACAAGTTAAATAAATATCATGACTGGCTTTGGGAAAATCATGAAAAACTAAACCTGTCTTAAACCCTGTATGTTTCCTAACTGTGTTTTATGCATTGCTTTGCACTTGCTTCTAAGAGCTCCATTCTACAAAGCCAGCCATATTTCCAGGCATGTAGATTGTCACTAGCTCAACTGGAAGCCCAGTGTCTATTGTCTTAGTGTGCGTGCCACTGGTGGATCTTTGATGCTGAAGATTCTAGAATATATTTTGAGATTTTTTTCTAAATAAATTATTTGATAACAATCCTGAAAATGAATATGACTCTTCCAATAAAGAAAGGTGGAAATTGCTTTCATAACCCTCAGGACAACAAAGCAGGTGTATCACTCCTGCTGGAGGACAGATTAGACTTTCTGCTCTTTCTATAGAAAGTAATACTACTGAACACAGTCGTTATAGGAAGAATTGACCAAAGAGTTTGCATTTTTATTATAAGTATTATAATATCCAAAACTGACATAATTACCTTAGAAATAAATCACCAAACCAAAAAAAATCCTAAATTAAGTCTTAATTGCCATTTCAAGGTATACATTGAAAATTAAATTATACTTCCCCTCCGAAAGGAAAACATCCACTTATGATGTCCCATCTCATTTTCATTTAAAAAATATGTTCTAAGATAGGAGGATCCCTGCCCAGGCTGGACTGGGCAAAAAGCAAGACCCCATCTCCAGAATAACTAAAGCAAAAAGGGATGGAGACATGGCTCTGGTGGTGGAGCACCTGCCTAGCAAGTGCAAAGCCCTGAGTTCAAACCCAGTAGTGCCAAAGAAAAAAAAAAAGATTCTTTTTGTCATTGATTCCACACTGGCTCTTAGAAAGTGTAGGTTTGACTCCAGCATCCTTGTGATAGTGTGAAAAATCCTGTGATAGTGTGAAATCTGTGGCTCCATTTCAGCTCATGCCCTTGACTTTGGTCCCTGTGGGAAGCCTCATCTCATCTTCCAGTAAGAGAATGGGAGCTTTTCTGTTGTATGCCATTTTTATTACAGGTATTGTAATGTTATAGTTCCAACAGTGAAACATTTTCCTTAGGAAGAACTCATCAACCCCTCCCCCCCAAAAAAAGTCCTAAATTATTGTCTTAATTTCTAATTGCCATTTCCAGGTTTAACTTGAAAATTAAACTGATTGAATAAAGAAGAAGCCAGTCATTTGTTCAGGAGACTGCCTTGTTGCAGGAAGGTGGTGTGTGAACAGAACAGGTGCAGAGCAAGGCAGGTGGTGGGTTGTTCCCCTTGGTGAGCAAGTGTCAGTTTTCAGAAAGGGATGGAGTTTTAACCTGAGAACAGGAGAACTTGCCCTAGCTCCCCCTGCCCAAGACAAACATCTGTTTCACAATAATCCAACACATTTTCATTTTGCAGACATCACAGTAGCCTTCAGGAAGTGCAAAACCCCATGCTGGGGTGGGGTACAAAGACTAAAAGGCTCTGTAGAGACCCCCACAGGAAGAGAACAGCACATATGAAAAGGAACAAAAGGGATAAGATACCAGGATGCCATCCAAACATGGCACCTAAAGGTACAGAAGGTTCTCTGGAGCCCTGGGCCACAGCCAGGTTGTAGGGCAAGCTCACCAAGCTTCAGGTATCAGGAGTGGCTGCATGACAGGGCCTGGTGACAAATCCCCCAATGTAGTAGCTATCAAGACTGTAGACTGGAGCCGGTGCCTGTGGCTCACGCCTTTAGGCAGAGATCAGGAGGATAGCAGTTCAAGGCCAGGCAGGGAAAATAGTTAATGAGACCCTATCTCAAAAAAAAAAAAATCACAAAAAAGGGCTGGTAGAGTAGCTTAAGGTGTAGGCCCTGCATTTAAGATCCAGTACCACAAAAAAAAAAAAAAAAAAATGTGGACCAGGCCGGTGGAGTAGATTAACAGGTAGAGCACCTGCCTAGCAAGCATGAGGCCCTGAGGTTCAATCCCCAGTACTGCCAAAAAAAAAAAAGTGTGGACAGAATTGAGTGTGGTGACTCACATCTGTAATCCCAGTTACAGGAGACTGAAAGGATGATGGTTGGAGGCCAGCCCAGGCAAAAAGTTAGTGAGACCCTATCTCAACCAATAAGCTGGGTACAGTGGTCCATGTCTGTTATCACAGCTACATGGGAGGCATAGGTAGTAGAATTTCTGAGGCTGACCTGGGGCTAAGACATGAAACCCTACCTGAAAATAACTAAAGCAAAAAACATCTGTGAGTGTGGCTCAGTGGTAGAGCACCTGCCAAGCAACCCTGAGATCTTGAGTTCAAACCCCAATACTACCCTCTACCCCCCATAAAACAGTGCGACTGGGTGCTGATGGCTCATACCTGTACTCCTAGCTACTACTTGGGGAGCAGAGATCAGGTAAATTGTGGTTCAAGACCAGCCCAGGCCAAAAGTGAGACCCTATCTCAAAATATCCTACACAAAGAGTTGGCAGAGTGGCTCAAGTGGTGGAGCACCTGCCTACTAAGTGTGAGGCCCTGAGTTCAAACCCCAGTACCACCAAAAACAAAAATGTGGACTGTGATGGTGAGCTCTGCAGCAAAGAAGTGCAGACCACAGGCTGCTGGGTTCCAGGCTTTGCTTTCCCTTTGCTGCAGGTGAGGTTGCCTGACTTCTATCTGTTACCTCATCTCCAAATGGAATAGTATGACCTCACTAATATGTTATTGTAAATTCATACCCAGAAGTGCTGAAATGATGCCAGGTTAATGTGGCCTGGGGAATTGATCTGAGTGACTGCTTCAGATTGTTATGGGTCAAGAAGAGAGATTGCATCTCAGCACAGAGTAAGCATTCAAATGTTGTTTTAACTTTTTTTTTTTTTTGAGACAGGGTCTTGCTATATAGGCCAGGCTGGCCTGAACTCTATCCTCCTACTTCAGCCTTTGGAATGCTAGGATTACAGGCCTGTACCACCATGCCCAAGTAACTTTTTATTGAGATAATACCATTTGGCCAGGTGCCAGTGGCTCATGTCTATAATCCCAGCTATTTGGAAGGCTGAGATCGGGAGGATCGAGGTTGGAGGCCAGCCTGGGCAAATAGTTCTCGAGATCCCATCTTCAAAATAACCAGTGCAAAATGGACTGGAGGTATGACAAGCGGTAGAGAAACTGCTTAGCAAATGCCTGCTTTACAAGTGCAAAGTCATGGATTTAAACCCCAATCCCACCAAAAAAAAAAAAAAAAAGAGTTCAAGGCCAGTCAGGGCTACATACCAAGTTTGAGGCCAACCTTCTCTCTTCCCTACCTAGTCAGACCCTGTCTCAAGAAACTGAGAGAAAAAAAAAAAAATCACCATTTAACCATTTTAGGGCTGGGATGTAGCTCAATGGTAGAGCACTTGCACAAGACCCTGGGTTCCATCCCAAGCACTGGGAAAAAAAAAAAACCACACACACAATTCAGTGGTTTTTAGTACATTTAGAATGTTGTGCAACCATTATCACAATCTAATTCCAGGTCATTTCCATCACCCCAAAAAGAAACCCCACTCTTGCCAACAGTTAATCTTAACCACCCTTCCCAATGTGCTGGTAACCATTAGTGTACTTTCTGTCTGTACATTTGCCTGCTTGGGCATTTCATAGAAATAGAACCAACAGCGTGTAGCCTTTGGGGTCTGGTTTCTTTCACTTAGCATACTGTTTTGAAGGTCCCTCCATGGTAAGCCAGCATGGATACACCATAGTTTATGGGTTGATGGACATTGCAAGGGCTTATGACTTCTCTGGTTCTCGGGTTCTGTAATTCCAAAGCATGGTACCCCGTCGTAAGGGGGCAAAGCATACTACGAAGTACCCTGCCTCTACTTGTCCACTATTCACGTGGCTTCTTAAGACCCTCCGGGGAGACAGGACCTATTCCCTGGATGAGAAAACAGGCCTAAACGTGGAGGTCTGAAGATCCTACGGTTTGCAGAACACTCGGGCGTTTTTCACTTGAGATTGGGGTCCCCAGGCCCAGTCCCAAGATCTGGGAGCAGTGTAAGGCGGAGGTATCTGGGATGCACAGGCGGGGACCGCTCGGGGACGGGAGGATCGCGCACGTGGCGGCGCTCAGCCAATCAGCGCGGGACGCTCGTAGTCATGGCGACAGCTTGCTTCTCCGCTCTGCAAGTTGAGCGCCCTTCGCAAAACTTAGAGCCACTGTGCTCCATGCGGTGGCACCGCGCTCGAGCAGTCACACATAGACACACACACATACTAGCACACATACACACAGCACTGCCAACATGGACGATTCCTACGAAATGCACCAGAATCTGGTACATGATCCGGTAAGTCCCGGGTCATTGCTGTCGGCAGGAAAGCGAGGCAAGGAAATCTCATTGTGCCGTGTCCCCTCGGGGTGAGGGGTTGCCAGGGAGCCAGGCAGGTCATGCACAGCTCTGTGATTTCCATGCCCAGCCAAGCTGCCCGCTTTAGAGGTCTGATTCTTGGGCCTACGGCCCTCCGGCTCTGCCTGTTTCTCCCTGACACCAATGAGCTCCATATTGAAGAAGAGGCCCAGAAACGTCAATCTTCAAGTTTCTTTTGGCAATCTTCCAGAGCCCAGTGTCCTGATAAAGCGCTGCTGCTTTAAAGGTAAAGGACAGAGATAATCACATAACAGAATAAGAAGGGGTGGATGCCAGTCCAGAGTGACACCGAGGAGTAAGAGAGCCACTCTCAGTGTGTGGGGTGTGGAGGAACAGTTCCCAGCTCCTGGAAAAGATCTTTACACCAGAGCCTAAAGGGTAAAAAGGAGTTCCCCCAAGTCAAAAGGGGGAGGAAAAACATTTCAGGCCAAGGAACACTAGGCACAGAGGTGCTGGTGTATTAACTACCTGCTGGTAGTTGGAGTCTCTGGAAATGAGGTGAGAGAGGTCAGAAGGGACAAGATCTACAGCAAGCTTGTAAACCAGGAGATGGAGACACTGATGGGAGGTACAGCATGGGAGCCATCAGCAAAAGCTGGGACTGCATTGGCCAGTTCAGAGGACGGTGTGGGAGAGCACACCTGAGGCTTTCAAGCTTGAAAGCTTACTCTCCAGTGCCAGACATACTAATGTCCATTGGACAAACAGAGTGGGCTGGAGCCCTGGGCACCTTTCCCAGGCACAGATGCACTGGGGGTAGAGGAAGAAAAGCCAGGCTAGAGGGAACTTCCAAGGCCTTGGGTGCTGACTGGACCCAGAACACAGAAGCAAACAGAGATGCTCAGTTGGGAAGCTAGGGGCCCTGTAGGTGTGGGTGCCTTTCTCAGAGGAAACCAGCACCTGAGTATGGAGGCAAATTCAGTCTTACCTGGGTGACAACTAGCTTCTGAGCTCAAGATCCTTGAGAGTCATCCAAATAAAACATTTTGGGAGCAACTGGACGTGTAAAGCTAATTCCAAGTCATAAATACTGGTGTGGATGTCCTTGGAGGGCCAAGGACACAGGAGAAGAGATGATGTGAAAAGTCAAGAGAGTGCTACTATAAATCTGCAAAGTGCCGAGGGTTAGGGGTGGGAGCCCAGAACGGTGACTGGAGAGAGAAGTAGGAAGAGACTTTCAGAGAAAAGTGAGTCAGAAGACCAGAGAGGGGAAATTGCATCTCCAGACACCCCTGGGCTATCCCAAAAGATGGGTACAAGTGTTTTCTTCTGGAGCATCACCTAGAGGATTGGGACCAAAAGGTAGATGTTCCCAGGAATCAAATCCCAAGTCACTGTATAGAAGTATTTTCTAGCAGAGTTGAGTAGCCACAATGTACCAGAGAGCTCCATGTCCCAGGCAGGAGTAAGCAAAGTCCACTAACATTGGAGAAGAGTCCCTGACCTGGGCAGGGGATAGAGCTCTGAGAAAGCCACCTTGTCACAGTCTCCAGCCACAACTACAAGCAGCAGCCTCTGTTACTACAGGGGCCTGCCTCACTTTCCTCTCCATGGACACAGGATCCCAAAAAGCAACAGAATGATGCCCCATAAGAAGAGTGTGCAGGGGCCAGTGACCTGCAAGAGATGGCCAGGGGTGACACTTGAACTGAACCATAAGGTAGGAAGGACTCAGGCCGGGGAGGGTTTGGAGGATACTATGCCCTTCAGAGGGCACAGCAAATGCAAAAACCAAAAACCAGTAAGGATCCTATGTAGGGAGCTAAGAGGGCCATGAGGAGATAAAGGAAAGGAGGCAAGGCAGGGAGGAGAGGGAGGGGTGCAGGGGCCCGGCAGGGGGAGGGTCTTCATTCCAAGAGCACTCAGAAGCCACTGAAGGATTTCCAATAGGTAATAAGGAGACATGATTTTATTTGCTTGTTTATTTTTCTATTTATTTTTGGTGGTACTGGGGTTTGAACTCAGGGCCTCATGCTTGCCAAGCAGGCACTCTACTATTTTAAGCCACTCCACCAGCCCCCAATTTATATTTCTTAAAAAGACTTCCAGCTGGGCTGTGGTGGCTCACGCCTGTAATCCTAGCTACTCAGAAGGCATCCAGATCAGGAGGATCCAGGTTGAAAACCAGCCCCAGCAAATAATTCATGAAACCCTATCTTGAAAATACCCAACACAAAACAATTCTGGTGGAGAGGCTGAAGTGGTACAGCGCCTGCCCAATAAGTGTGAGGCCCTGAGTTCAAAGCCCAGTACTACCAAAAAAAAAAAAAAAGACTTAAAACATGGATTGGGGGCTTGGAGGGCACAGTAGAAGTGGCTAGAGAGTTAGGAGCATATTTGCATATATGAATACATGCAAACAAGCCCATGGTACCCAGAGTAAAGTCTGAACCCCTCAACCTGGCAACGGGAATAATCACAACCCCATTTCCCGCTAACCTCCTTCTTTCTACACAGTGTGCTTCTAGCTTGCAGAACTAGTTAGTGACCTTAAAATCCCCAAATCTTACCCCAGCCTTCCTTCCCCACCCTGGAAGCCCAGCTTTTCTTAAGGACCCATGCAGTGACCTCTCTTCCCTGATGACCTCTCCTACGCCCTCAATCAGTGCTTCTCCCCCAGCTAAGAGCACACTGCTACCCTCTGACTGCCCACCTCGTTCCAAGCAGCACACTATGGCTGGACACTCAGCCCTGGCGGATCCTCAGAAATCCTGGCAGATGAATGGCTGAATTCTCAGTCATTCCCTGCTGGGTACAGACTTTCTTCTTGTCAAGGAAATGATACGTGGGTTATTTACAAGTGTTCATGCCTGACCTATTGGTACCTGCTTTTATTATTTTTGATTAGGAAAGGAACCCTGGGCATGGTGCCACACGACTATAATCTTAGCACTTAGGAGGCTGAGGCAGGAAGATCAAGTTCAAGGCCAACCTGGGCTACATAGAGAGATCCTGCCCCATGTCCCACACATGGACATTGTAAACAAATGTACTGAGTGCCCACTTTGTGGCAGGCAGGTCACCTGGGAATCAGGAAAACTAACGTGCAGTCCCTGCCTCTGGGAAACTCACAGGCTGTTGGGAAAGGCAAAAACACCTTCACTTCAGAAGAAGATGCAGAGACTGTGATGAGCTAAGCATGGGGGCTGTGGGAACCCAGAGGGGCCGAGACAGGGCTGGGAAGGCCTCAAGAGACAGTGGTGAACTGCATTTCAAAGGATGAATTGGGAATGACCAGCTGAATTTCAGAGGGAGGTCAGTTTGGGTACCAACTCACTGAGGCAGGAGGAACAAGAAAGGAGCAGAGAAATGAGAGCAGAAGGTGGGGAGGGTCCCCTCAGGCCAAGAAGCTCGGACTTTGTTCTAGAGGCATTTGGGAGCCCTGGATGGATTTTAAGCAGGGGAGTTTGGGCTCTGAGACGAAAAGGGTAGCAGTGATGTTTCAATAATGATTTATATCCCTGAGTTTAGAACACTTCCATTGTTGGCTCTTCGTAACAACATTGGGAAGCAGAGTTTATGCTGTTTTAGAAACGAAAGACTTGAGGCTCAGCGGGACTAGGGATCCGCCTGGGGTAACCTCACGTCATGACTATGAACTTGGCTGTGGGGCCAAGCACATTGGAGTTCATGTCCCAGTTCTGCTAGTGATGAAAGTTGTGGCCTTAGGCCTCTCTGGACATCAGTGTCCCTATGTGTGGAATGGGCATCACCAGAGCACCAGCCTCTCAGCTGTGCACGCTTGTCATTCACTCATTCACCAAGTGTTTACTGAGCTCGCACCGTATGGAGGCACTTAGGGAGGTGCCAGGGCTCTGGCAGGAACAAGAGGGACCAGCCATGGAGCTTAGATCACTGGAAAACACAAACGTCAGCCAAGTCATCACCCCAGGGCTCGCAGATGCGGGTGTTGGCCTGGACAAAGTGGCACTGAGTGACACACGAGACAACAGGGAATAGCGGGAGTTATGGCAAGCCAGTTGGAACCGCATGCACCAGCGACAGTGACTCAAACCCAGACATCTTAAGCAAGCTGCCAAACAAACAGGACCTCAAGCTCCTCAGACACAAGGGCCAGCAGTTTGCAGCCCTGGTTGTGCATGACGGTGGCAGTGACGAGAAGGAAGTGTACGGGCCATGGCATGCAGAGATGTGAGGTGGTAAGAGAAGCCCCGGGCTGGAGTGGAACGTTTGGTCTGAGACCCAAAAGAGGAGGAGGAAGGAACACTCCAGGCAGAGGGAGCAGCAGGTGCCAAACTCTTAGGCAGGACAGAGCTGCCATCACTGAGAGGGCAGAAGGAGACACCTGGGACACAGTAAAGAGAGAGGCAAATGCTAAGGCACAGGACAGGAGCTCTGTTTTAAGGGATATGGAAAGCCAGGGAAGGGTTTCAAATGGATAAAAGATGACTGTGTATGTGTACATGTACACACACACACACGTATACAGCAGACAATTAATATGTACAAAGCAACTCTAATAAACTGATTCTAAACATCCCTACCGCCCAAGAAATAGGCACATTCATTATCACCCACTTTACTGATGAAGAAATTGAGACACAGAGAGGTTAAGTGACTTGCCCAAGGTCACACAGCCAGCCAGCAGGTAGCAGGGCCAGGTCTCAGAGGGGAGTACCCAGCTTCTGAGCCTCTGCACCTACAGGTGCAGTGCTATGTGGATGATCAGACAGGGTGAGGCTGGCCTTCCTCAGAGTGCCAGTAGGCGCACTGGGAGCCGGAGGTGAAGAGGAACCCACGTGAGAAAGTGCTTAAAGCCTTTGCCTTAGTTAGTGCCTGCCATCGGGAGTACCGGCCACATACGATGACATTATGCTCCTTGTTAGAGGGGGACAATGAGGAAGTGAGGCTGGGGACCCAGGGGCCGTGATGCCTAGCCTTGTACGAAAGCATCTTTCCTTCCTGGCCCCTTTCTTTCAAAAGAATTCACCTTCTCACCCTCTTCTCCCAAGGGATCTGCCAGTCTAAGTCTTCAGTGGACCATGAGGACAGCATCAAGAGCAAGAGCCCCCGCCGCCTTCCATCCCGAGCGGGTCATCGCCCATTGCTTCAAGCAGTTCAGGCAGAAGGACTTCCACCTGCCCCCGAGCCGCCGGCGGATCATCGTGGTGCCGGGCAAGCAGGACCAGGTGCCCGCTAGCCCCACTCCCCAGCCCCCTGCTCCCCCGAGGCCTCTCCCCAGCTTCAAAACCTTGGAAGTGAAAGACATTCAAGAGTGGCGGGTGGACAGGACCATCTGGCTGAACCAGAGGATGAAGCTGCGGAGGGAGCTGGAGTCGTGCGGCAACGTGAAGAGGTGGCTGGCTAACAAACAGAGCATCACGCCTTCGGAGGCCAAGGTCTTACGCTGGATCCAGGAGGAGCAGGACGCCCAGTGGATGGACCACTTGACTATGATGAGGGCCACCAAGGTGAGCAACTGCGCTGGCCCGACAAAGGGCTGTGTCGTCATTTTGTACCCTTGGGTGAGGCAGGGTGGGGAGGGTTTCCCCCTTTCACAGAGGAGCAAACACAAGTCCTGAAAGGGAGGTGTGAAGCTGTCGGTTGCCACAGACAAATACCCCAAGGTGACCTTATCGCACACAGTTGTTTCTGAGACCCAGGAATCTGGGAGCCGCTCTTCTAGGTGGCTTCAGTCCATAGTTGTCTGAAGGCTTGAGTGGGGCAGGAGATGCTGCTCCCAAGATGGCCCTGCATATGACTGTCGGCCAGAGCCTCAGTGCCTCTCACATGGACCAGTCAGAGGCTGCGTGAGTCCTCGAAGCATGGTGGGTCGTCCCCAGAGTGACCCATCCAGAAAAGAGAGCGAGGAGGGGGCTGCAGGGCCTTTGTGACCTCGTCTCTGAAGGTCTCAGTTTCAGATGCTTTTCACATCCCTTCCACCATCGGTTTCTGGTCAGAAGTGAGCCACTGGGTTCTGCCACAGGCATGGGGAAAGGAAGAAGGCTCTGTCTTAGAAGGGAGAAGGTTGAGGACTTGGCAGGTGTACCTTAAAAACACCCCAGCCGGAACCATTCTTGGCAGCACTCTTATGGGCCTTCTATTTGTGCACACTTGTCTGCTGGGGGTTATGTGTACTGAGCATGCTCATGGGCTCAGGGAGGGTCACGATTGCAACAGTGGGAGAAGAAGGAGGCACCTCCACCCCATGATAGATGTGCAAATAGAAGCTAAGAGGCCAGACAAACATGACAGCCAGCACCACCTCCCTCTCCCTCTTACTCCTCTCCCATTTGCAGTGCAGACACTTGAAACTTCTCCCAGCTCAGATACATTGGGATAAGAGATCAAATGACTCTGCTGTGCTACCTCCCAGTTACATGGTCCTGGGCATCAGCCTCCTCACCTATAAAATGAGGATTAGCCGAGTGTGGCGTTTCACGCCTGTAATCCCAGCTACTCAGAAGGCTGAAGCTGGAGGATTGTGAGTTCCAGGCCCAGCCTGGGCAATGCAGCAAGACCCTCTTTCAAAAATAAAAGGAAAACTAAGATGGGAACAATTGTGATACCGCTCTCCTGGAGTCAGGGTGATCAAAATCAGTCTCTGTAATGTGTCTTGGACGGGTGCTAGGCATACAGTGAGCACTCAGTACGTGTGCTATTATTATAACTTCACTAGTGTAACTGGGGTTGGTTCATCCAAAACTTCAGGATCAGTCTTTGTTGTGGTCAAAGCCCAAGCCCAAATTTTGTGTCTATGAATAAGCAGTGGACTTGAGTTACAGACTAAGCCCTTACTGCTTACCTGCTGTGTGACCTTGGGCAAGTCACTTCACCCATCTGAACCAGATTCCTCATTTGTAAATACCTATTTCCCAGCATCCTTCATTCCTGCAGCACACAATTACTGCCTCCCTGCCCAGGGCCAGGCCTTCCTTCAGTACAAGAACAGGAGACAGGGTATGCAGCTGAGTGGAACTTGGTTTTAAAGTAATCACACATTCGTAGGAGAGACAGACACGATCAGATTAATGATGCTAAGGTTTGCTACAGGCCATTAACAGAGGCAGCTCCCAAACACATGGGAGCCAGGGGAGCAGTGTCCTGTGTGAGCTGTCAAGTCTACACCAAGATCAGGGAGTGTTCCTAGCACAGAATTGGATGCAGAGCGGGTCTGGGTGGGCAGGAAGAGGAACAGCACCAGACAGGAGGACAAGGATGGGCAGAGGCCATGAGCCACCACAGCTGGGTGTGTGTTTGAGGTACTGAGAGCCGGGTCTGGCTTGGAAGGGTGGGGACAAGAATGAACTTTTAGCTCTTACTGTCCAAGCCTTGCATTTTCGATGAGAAAAGTGAGGCTGGGAGAAGCACCTCATGTTCTGTGCAAAGCCCAGTTGCCTTGGTCCAGTGCCCTTGGCCCTCTGCCTTCTCCACTCAGAGTTGCCTGGCTGTTCTCTCTCCTGTCTCCCTCTAACCCTGGGGGCTGCACCCCACTGGCCATGTCCTTGACCTCTCCCCTCTGTCCCTCTTTTGCCTCCTCCAGAAAAGAGCCCCCAAAATCTCCCGCCACGTGGTGCCCCAGCTCCATCTGCCCAAGCCCTCTGCCCTGTCGGCCTTGTACTCCTTCCTACGCAGCCACAAGGTCAAGGTCCTGGAGGTATTCGGCAAGATGGACCGGGGCGAGAGCCAGAGAATAACCCGGGAGGAGTTCATCATGGCTCTGAAGGCAGTAAGTGTCCTCCTGTGGCTGCCCCCACCCCTACAGGATAGGAGGTGCCCGCACCCCTCCACCTCCCAGCTTCTGATCAGCTGAAGGAAACAGACCTATCATCAAGCCCTATACCTATAGAGCCAGACAGGAAAAGGTGGTGTGACCTGTGGCCACACCAGACCCTTCACCACCCGAGCACCAGTCTGACCTTAAAACTTACCTGTAGGGCTGGGTGCAGTGGCTCACATCTGCAATCCTAGCTACCTGGGAGGTGGAGATCAGGATTGCAGTTGGAGATCAGCCCAAACAGTTAATGAGATCCCATCTCAAACAATAAAAAGTGGCCATGGCGGTGCACACCTGTCACCCCGACTATATGGGAAATATAAATAGGAGGGTTGTCCAGGCTGACCCAGGCACAAATGGGAGACCAATGCAAAAAATAACTAAAGCAAAAAGGGCTGGGGCACGGTTCCAGTGCCTGCCTGGCAAGCACATGGCCCTGAGTTCAAACCCCAGTCCCACCAAAAACAAACAAAATAAACCAACACCCATAGGGCTGGGGGAACAGATTGTGTTTAGCGTGACCAAGGCCCGGTTCTGTCCATCCTTAGCACTTGGGAAGTGAGGGAGATCCCACATGAGTTGAAAGTTTTCAGAGCCAACTCCAAAGCCAGGCAGCTGGCAGGAGAATCACTTGTGCTCATCAGACTTGAGAACTGAGCCCACAGAGATGGCCCTTCTAGAGCTTCTCCAGCTGTCACTGGCACCTGAGTCACACACAGGTCTGACTCAAGTACTCCATGCCAGGCCCAAGACGCCACAGTTCCAGGAAGCACAGTGAGCCTGGGTGCCGGTCCCCAGGCCAATAGTGTCAATTGACTATAAGTAAATAAATTAAAAATCCAATTCCTCAACCGTATCAGCCACAACTCTGGTGCTCAGTAATCACTTGTGGGGCTGGGGGTATGGCTCGGTGGTAGGGCGTATCCACCATGCACAAGGACCACGAAGCCACGCGTGCAAGCAGTCCCTTCATTAGACAGCACAAATGTAGGATTCCCATCATTGCAGAAGGGCTTTGGTCCAGCAGCGGGGCTGAAGCTATGCCTCATGCCAAAGCCAGCCTGCCTCCTGGATCATAAATAAAGCCTCATCAAACACGGCCACATTTGTTCATCTACATATCGTCACTGGTTGCTCTCAGGCGACAGTGGCAAAGCCATGGGGCTCACACATCTATTTATTATCCAGCCTCTTAGAGAAAAAGCTTGCCGGTCTAGATGAATTAAACCTTTCTATATCTGAATACAAGAGAACTTATAACCAAAACTCAGGAAGTTCACTCATCTTTTGCAATTTTAGATCACCAGTTTCCTTTTTCTTTCTTTTTCTTTTTCCTGTGGCACTAGGCCTTGAACTCAGGGCGGCACACTTGCTACACAGGTGCTCTACCACTCGAGCCACACCCCCAGCCCCAGATCATCAGTTTTCACATGCTTTGTGACATGTAATTATCTGGACAACTTTCATTCCAAAGCAACAAGAAAATAAAGGGTCTTGGGCTGGAAGAATAGCTCAAGGGGGAAAGCACCTGCCTAGTGGGGTCCTGGACTCAACCCCAAGAACTGCAAAAAATAGGTAAAAATAAAATGAAATGAAGGGTCCTTACCCACCACCACCAACAAAGATAAAACATTAAAATCCTTTAGCTCCAGGAGAATTCTGGTGCTATTTAAGGAGGGTTCAATGAATTATTGTCTGTAGAAATTGAGGAGAAATTATAGTTCCTTCTTCTTGCCGAGCACTTAGAGCTGCCTGTAATCCTAGCTACTCAGGAGGCAGAGATCAGGAGGGTCACGGTTCAAAGCCAGCCTGGGCAAATATTTCGAGAGACCCTATCTCAAAAAAACCCTTCACAAAAAAGGGCTGACAGAATGGCCCAAGTGGTGGAGAGTACCTGCCTAGCAAGTGTGAAGTTCTGAGTTCAAAAGTCTGTTCCTACTTTACTTCAGTTAAGGGAGGTTTAGCAGCTAAACCTGGACAAAGGTGATAGCCATGTGACACCGCTCTTCCTACCCAGCGTGCTAAACGCCATCAGTGAGCTTGGTGCGAAGTGGGGTGGGAGCCCAGGACCTGACTGTAAAGATGGCGGAATATGTGGCCCGGGCTTTGAAGACCAGATAGGAGTTTTTCAGGCAGAGAAACAGGTACCACCTGGGCAAAGGCAGAGGGTAAGAAAAGGCCAGGACTTGGCAAGAGCTCTGAGCAGCAGTGGCAGGGACCCTGAGTGTGAGTTGAGGGTAGGAGTGGCTGTGGGTGGAACTAGGAGGGGAGCATTAGAGGGCGGGGCCGGGTGGGCAAGGCCTGGATGTTCGGATGGGCTTCTCTCCCTCCTCAGATCGGAGTCCCCCTGAAGAGCCAGGAAATGGAGGACATCGTGATCTTCCTCAGCTCTCTCGGGAAATACAATGCCATCACCACAGATGTCCTTGTCAACGCTTACAAGCACTGGTCCCTGACCCAGCAGAGGAGTTCCATACCCATGGCCAGAAAGGGTGCGTATCCTCCCCGGCCCACCCCAGGGCCTGGCTTAGTGCCCACAGCCTGGCCCTCCTGGCACTTGCTTCCTGAGTGTGGCCTCCTACTTTGGCTGGCTATAGATAGCCAAGCTCTGGAATTTCCAGGTCCAGGGACCAACTCAGGACCCTTGTGTCCATTCAAAGATGAACAAGACTCAGCCCTGTCCTTAGAGGGACAGTTTAGCCCACCAGAGCCCACCAGAGGCTAACAACTGGCCCCGTGGCCAGCCCTCTGAGAGGCCTTTGTCTGTATTGGTCCAAGGCCTCCTTGCCATGAACCCATATCTTATAGCTATATGGTTCTAGCGCTCAGAAGGCTGAGGCAGGTGGATTGGGAGTTTGAGGCCAGCCTGGGATATGTAGCCAGACCCAGTCTCAAAACAAAAACAAACAACAACAAAAGTTAACTAAAATTTCTTGCTCAGAAACAGAATCAGCACGTTTAGAGTTTATTTGTTTTGGCCTCTACATCAGTATTATAGCAGTACTGCTGTGAAGAAGGTTTATATTTTGTAAAGTTCCTATTTGTCACTTGGTGGAAACAGAGTGACCGAGGGCAAGAATGGCAGCAAGGAGTCAGGGGTGGGTGAACAGATGAAGGGGTGTCTGTGGGGATGAGAGGGGACACGCTGAAGGTACAGACTTGTGGGAAGGGAGCAGAGGGCCAGCCTAGTGCCTCCCCTTTGACACTGGACATTGCTTGGCGGGCCCCATGGCTGGGCTCCCTCTCAGCCCCCAGTCCATCTCCTCCCTCTGACTCTAGATCACATCCCGGCCAAGCACAAACCTTCCCTAAAGACTTCACCCAAGAAGCCAACGGTGGATCCAACCCCAGAGCCTCCCAAGATGGACCTGTTGACAGTGCCCGAGGTCAACACACAGTTGGAGTTTCGGCCCCTGACCCTGGAGGAGATGGAGGACGTGGGCAAGCGGTACCGCGAGCGGAAGCGGCGGCACAAGGTACCCGCCCACTCTCAGAGGGCACAGGGCTTGGGGCCTAGGCAGGCCGGGGTTCAAGGCCCTGCACTGGCACAACATGCCTGCCAGCTGGGGGACGCTTGGAGGGTCTTCACCTCCCTGAGCCCTATCCCTCATCTGTATAATCTCTATAATAAGAACTACACCAGTGCCACGAGGTGTCTGCAAAGATGAAAAGATCCCATCTGGAAAGCATGGAGCTCCCCTCGGCTGTTCTTTGTAACTTTGCATTCTGAGAGCAGGCTGCAGCCTCATCACTGCTGGAATCCAAGGGCCTGGCTCCAGGATCCATAAAGAAAGGATCTAGAGAGAAGGAAGGACCGATCGTGTGAATTAGTTCATCCAGTAAATATTTATAGAGCCAGGTGTGGTGGTGCATGCTGTAATCCCAGCACTCGGGAGGCTGAGGCAGGAGGATCATGAGTTCAAGGCTTGCCTGGGCTATGTTGTGCAACCCTGTCTAAAAAAAAAAAGGGCGGGGGGGAGAAGAGAGAGAGAGAGAGAGAGAGACAGAGGTAGCCAATGAGACAGGCTATACACCCACACCCCCAGACCCTTCGACATTAGCATGTGGTCTCCTCCTCCAGGTCACAGATGGCTATGTCTGACTTAGCGCCCCCTGCAGTTCTCCCTCAGGATGCCCCTGGCACTCCTGTCCTGACCCTTCCTGCTGCTGTCACACAGTCATTTGCACACAGAGCCATGCGTGCTGCTCACCTAGGTGCTCTTCAGGGGTAACCCTGACCCCCAGTGATTTCTCCCCTGAGCCACAGCCCGCTGTGTGTGCTCTTCCGTCGCCCCTCAGGGGCCTCCCCAGGGAGGTGGAGGAGGCTGGAGGAAGGTGGCCAGCAAAGCAACAGGAACCGCTTGTTCTTCCCGCAGCTGTCCATCCCCTCCATCCAGTACACGGAGAGCTGTCGCCTGGTGCGCTGCGGGGACAAGCACTTTGATGAGCACTGCCTCCCATCCACCGTGGAGGGGGAGATGAAGGAGATCATTGGCAAGGCTCGCACCGACACCTTCCTGGTCTACCTGCAGTGCTGGAAGCTCTGTGAGGCCTACGGCCTCCCGCTGACGGAGGACATCCTCGTGAAAGGTAAAGGCTTGGTGCCAAGAGGGCCCAGCTAAGGTGAGGTGGCTGTCACCTGTGGTGGGGACGCTGGGAAGAAGGAAGGGAGGAGCAGGCCAGCCTGTTTTGCTGCCACTAGGATTCCTGGAGCGCAGGCTGAGAAGGTGGGGGTCTGGGTCATGGAGCCCCGAGCTTGGTGAAAGGTCGAGGGACAGGAGTCCTGAGGTCAAGTGTGAGGGACAGTCCCAACTCCGAAGATGGACTTTTGCTAGACATGATAGCTGCTCCTGAAAGCCCCTCCCCAACCACGTGGGGAGGCAGAGAGAGCACTCAGGCGGGCGTCAGCTCACATGTGAGCCTCAGGTTTAACTAGATGAAGAGCGGGGCAGGGGAGGGCAGCCCGGGCACAGGTGCTCAGAGGTGGCAGGTGGTCTGGCAGCTCATTGTCAGCACTGGTTGGATGAAGCCTGGTTGGCCATCATCTCAGTCCTTGTTTTCTCCTGGAGACATTGTCACTCTCGTTACGTGAGGGGAGCAATTTGGTTCCATGATCTCCTGATCTCTGCCTCCTGAGTAGCTAGGATTACAGGCATCAGCCAGCGGCGCTGGCCCTAGGAAAGCCTTGATTGAATTCTCCACTGCACCAGGCCTGGGGCCTTTGCTGACCTGTTATAAACAGGACCCTTCCCTATCATCGAGTGAGCTATATGCCACATCACCACTGGGGGGAGCTGCAAAAGAGTTCCAGGGAACCCCTCTGCACTACTTTTGCAACTTCTGGTGAATCCTCAACCATTTAAAAATAAAATGTTAGGCGGACGCTGGTGGCTCACACCTGTACTCCTACCTACTCAAGAGGCAGAGATCAGGAGAGTCATGGTTCAAAATCAGTCTGAGAAAATTTGCCAGATCCTGTCTCAAAAAAAACCATCACAAAAAAGGGCTGGTGGAGTGGCTCAAGTTGTAAATGCCTGCCTAGCAAGTGTGGGCCCTGAGTTCAAATCTCAGTGCCACCAAAAAAGAAAATAATCTATAGGACAAGGTGTTCTATGAAGCATAGAGTACCTCCAGTCAACAGTGTTGTATTGTATAACTCAAAAGAAGATTTTGAATATTCTCACCACAAAGAAACGATAAATATGTGAGGTGACAGATGTAATTACCCCAATGGGATCATGTCCCAGTGTCCCATAAATTCATACAATTAGTGCCAACTAAATGCAAATTAAGAAAAAATTGATACCCCCATAAGAAAAGAAAAAGTCTTTTTTTCGTTTTCCTTTGGCAGTACTGGAGATTGAACTCATGCTTTCTAGGCAGGCGCTCTACCACTTGAGCCACCCTGCCAGCCTTTTTTGAGTTGGGTATTTTTGAGATAGAGTCTTGAAAACTGTTTCGATCTAGCTGATCTCTGCCTCAGGAGTAGCAAGGATTACAGGCATGAGCCACTGGTGCCCAGCAAGAAAAAGTCTTTCAAAACAGAAATTTGAGCTTACTTTTTAAAAAAATAGCCACCATCTACCCCAAAGGCTCAGGGAGGGTGCTAGGTAATGAATCCTTCCTGTTTTTCTTGCTGCTCCCAGCGCTGCTGTACCCAGGGGACAAGATCATTTTCCAGGATGACAAAGTGCGCCCCATCAAGCAGCCTGGGGGTTACTACTCTGACTGGAAGCTCTTCCCCCAAAATCTCTCCTTGCTCAGGACCCAGGGCCTCACCAAGAAGGCTGACAAGCTGAGTTTCAAAGCGACTTGCTTCCTGCCCCTGCCCCTGCCACCTGTCCCATTGATGTCTCTTCAGCTGCAAGGCTGGGATGCTAGCAAGCATGGACTTTCATGTACCAGTGTGCTATGTCCCAATCTGGTTATTCCCCAGAGTCACCCTTGGCTCATGCTTAGGGTCAGGGCCCCCTTCCTGAACTCCCACTTGGCTCCCCTCACGGTCATGGGCTCCTGGGGAATAATCCAAAGGCCACCCTTCTTGTCCTGAGTCAATGCCAGGGCTCCGCAGCCCCTTCTCGCCCTCTGCCCTGCTCCTGGCTCCTGGCATGTTCATTCTATAGTAAGAGGAAGGTTCTAGGAGGAGAAAAGAACACTGCCATGAGACCTGGTCCTGACCCTTAGGCCAATCTGAATCCTAATAAAGTGACCTCCTTTTGTCATCCAAAGCCTGGACTGCACAGATTTGGACCAAGCAGCAGGTGATAGCCCATGGGCAGCATGAGTGGTGACTGCAGAACAGGGCAGCATCCCCACAGAGGACAGAAGAGGGCCCAGGCCCGCCCAACACTTGAGACTATTCCCAGATGCCTCCTGGGTGGTGTGGCCAGAGCCTGGGGTAGGATGCTGTGTGGGAGCCACGTGGAAACCAGAGGGACCCTAGGTTAAAGGCACAAGTTACCCTACCCTGTGCGGCTTGGTGTCTTGTGCGGAAGGTGGACACAAGGCTCCTACCACAGAGAGAGGATTAGAGGAGAGCGATGTGCCATCCTCTTGGCAGGCAGCACTCCGTTAGGGATTGTGGCTGTTGGCCTGGTCCGCCCTGGTCCAGGGTCCTCACATGCAGGGCAGACCCAGGCCTGCAGCTAGTACAGGCTGTAAAACCTGAACATGAGGCAGGCAGGTAGTGGCCAACAGGGCACCGTGGATCCCTTGGTGACCACTTTCCATCCCAGAGAGGCTGGCACCAATTCTGCGTTGTGAACCCAGGAAGTGGGAGGGGCCTAGGAAAGAGACTGTGGCCTAAGCTTTGTTGGCCACAGACATAAGGGAGCAGAAAGGCCTCCTAGCTCCAGGAAGGACAGTGACTCTCTCTCTACTCGTAACAGATCCTGAGGCCTGGGCACCGGGGATGGGGGCTCAGTGGTGGAGCACACGCTTAGCTTGCACAAAACTCTAGGTTCCATCTCCCGCACCAAATGTAAAACAAGTCCCCCACAGGAGATTCTGAGGCCAGATTCAGGTTTGGAGGGAAAGAGCACAGTCATCCACAAGTGACATCTGCCCAGCCCTAGGTGTGGAGTTTGTGCTGAAAGCAGGGGTAGAGGGAGTCAGGCTCAGCAGCTGCTACTGACTGTTCTGGAGCCCTCCATGCTGGAAAATGGGAAAAAAAGCTCAGAAAGAGAGGTGGCTTAGCCATCAACCAGCCGGCCAGGGTGTGAGGCCAGGTCTGGCTGAGCTAAATCCACCACGAGGTGTCCTCTGGGCATGAGGCAGAGTTAGAGCCACATCCCAAGAAGAAGGGATTCTCCTTTTAGAGCTCAGAAACACATCCCCTCCATGGCTCCCAACCCTCTTTCCAAAGCCCCAATAGCCTGGATTTTCCCTCTCCTAACAAAATGCTTCTCTCTTTCCTCCATCAGGAAAACATCAAAGAAAGTCAAGAAGATGCACTTTAAGGACTTTGAGGAATTTGCTTGGTCTGTAGCATCATTTCTCTCTGTTAGGAGGGTGGGCTAGGAGGAGCCTGGAGCCCTGCAGGTCATCTGGGCTTCTCACACTGCTGGGAAAGGCATGGAAAGAGCACCGGGAGGGTGCCAGGTGGTGCTGCTCTGCGTGCCTCCCGTGGGTTAGCTCACTTGAAGCTCTCAGCAGAGCTGGAATCCCAGCATCCATTTCCAGGAGAGAAAACTGACATTCAGTTACATCTGCTAAGTGGCAGAGTAGGGGCTGGAACCCAGCCAGGCTGGCTCCAGAAGCTGTAGTCCAAGCACCCGATTAACATGGCCGGGATGTAGCTCAGCTGTCAGGCGCTTGCCTGCTACAAAATAAAATAAAATACCCTTCAAGAAGGGATGGCAGGGGCTTAGAATTTGGATTTTAGAGAAGTTCACTGTGCTGCTCTGAGTCACTTGCTCATTGTGTGACCTCTGTGTCTTCTTTTCCAGGACACTGAAGGCAAAGAGTGTCAGTGGCTCCCACCTCACTCACCCCAATTCCTTCTGGCCCGGTCACCTTCTGGATAAGCTGCGGCTCTACCTGCCCACTGTGGCCGCAGACCAGAGCCTGGCTCTGTTCAGCCGCATCCAGTACAAGCGCCACGCCTACCCAGCCATCTACCACCCTGACCGCTGGTGGCCGATGAGTGGGAAGTACATGACCCAAGCCCATTATGATGCTAACAAGGTGTACTCCATCGACTAGAGGGGCCCAGGTGTGGCCTCACGCAGCCACCAGGGGCCAGGGACAGGGTGGCCAGGGCCCAGGGCCATAGACATAAGCGTGTCAGTGTCAGGCGGAAGTTGTTTTATGGCTGCCCTGGGGCCAGTTCCCCTGGATCCAAAGTGTCCAGTGTCTCGGAGAGTAGATGTGTCCAGGGAAGGACATGCAGCTTTGTTCTTATATTGTTTCCCTCTCCTGACCTAGGCCCTCTCAAAATAAACCAGCTTGGAGCTTTTCTCATGGGACCTGTGACCCAGCTGATGTGATTTCTTGTTCAGGGGCTATGGCCAGAGGGGTGTCTGGCAGTCCTTAGCCTTAGGGGGATGCAGCAGGTACGTGTCCGGGACAGTGACAGCGACGTCTGCGTGGTGTCTTGTCCTGGGACCGAGGTGCTACAGGGAAGCAGCAGGATGCCCTCCTCTGTCAAATGTCCCTCACTCCCCCATGCCCCACTGGATCACTGCTCCCAACTCTCTTGGGTATCTGGAAACTGGAGACATGCTCTCTGGCTCGTGAGCCCTCCCCACGACTAAACCCATTTGACCCTGTCAAAACTGTCCCCATCACGATGTGCACCTTGTGAGCTGCCATTAGCAATGTGCTTCCACGCCCCATGTCCCACTGGACTTATGCTCATGATGTGTGGGAAGCCACAGACACAAGCGAGTTCTAGTCCCAGCCCTACTGCTTGCCAGCTGTGACACCTAGGACAAGACATCTATTCCCTTCTCTGGGACTCCTCAACTCCCCTTCCTTTCAAAGCCCAAATCTCCAGATGACGTCATCAGCACACACTGTTGTCTTCCCTCCTCACTTCCCATTCAGGCATCAACACAAGCCAGCTCAGCACCTGCCCTGTCTCTCCTGGAACTGCTGTCAAGGTCACCAGTGGCATTTGTATTGTGTCTTGAGTTGTAGAATCAAGATTTTTTTGGTTTTGTTTTGTTTCCTTCTGGAATTTGATTGTCACAATGATCTTAAAAACAAAAGCTAACCAAACAAATTAAGAACAATTTTTAGGGGGAGGAGGGGATAAAGGAGAACGATGGAGGGGGCGAATTCAACTATGATACATTGTAAGAACTTTTGTAAATGTCACAATGTACCCCAGTACAACAATATAATTAAAAAACGTGTAAAAGAAAAAAATGCCTAAAAAGTAAAACATAAAATAAATGTTGCCAAATTTAAAAAAGGAACAATTTTTAAACTAGGCCATTTAGCTTAGGATAGAGAAGGTGAGGCATGGGAAACAGGAGCCAGGAATTCAGAGGTAAACACTGTATTGATGAATAGCTTGATTAAAAGCACACTGACACTATTTTCTCTAAGCTTCACACTCCCTCACTGAGCTGCAGCACAGAATGAAAAAGCAGGGCTGGTGGTGTGACTCGTGTGACTAAAGTAGTCAAGCAGGAAGCCAAGTTCAAACCCCAGTGCCACCAAAACATCAAAAGCAGTTCTCTCCCCCTGACTTTGCCTGCTTGGTCAAATGACCACTATTCTCTGGGAACCAATTCAGAACATCTTAAAGACACTTACCCCGGGCACAAAACATTTGGCAAATGAATCCTTTGATTACAGAAGCTTTTGCAAAGGAAAAATACTTACTTTTAAGGAAGACATCTGTCTTAATAAGAGCATTTGATGAAACCCATCCTATATTTAAAGGGATACTCAGAACAGACATCTATGACACAATGGCCCAAATTTAGTAAACCAACTAGATTTGATATCTCTGGGCCCAACTCATAATGTCAAAGCAGTATAACAGCAAAAATGGCTAAAACATGCCAGGTGTCCAGAACAAAGGGGAACATTCATCCTAAGGCGACTTTAAATTGTGGAATTTTTTTTCTTTTGATGGGACTGGGATTTGAACTCAGGGCTTCAAAGCAGATTCTCTGCAATTTGAGCCACACCGCCAGTCCCTATGGTGACTTCAAACCAAACCCATAGCCCACTCTGTCGTCCATAAATACCCTGATGTAAGCACACTCAGCACACCTCATGTGCTCGCACCTGTGTCCTTGCCTTTGCTTTGCTTTACTAATAAACTTTCCTGGTCTCACCTCTACATGTCCTAAAATTCTTTTTTTGTGACTACATCGGGACCCCAATAGACAAGCTGAGGACCTCTCCTGGTAACCTCCTTGGCCCACCTTCGTCCTCGTGACAGAAGTGTGAAGTTTGGAGTCAAACCTTCAAACCTTGCTTTCCACATATGTCAAATGAAGGAAATAATAGAATTGCCTTATAGAACGGTGGCAAGGATATAAGATCCCATGCAATGTTAATGTTATCATCTCCTTACTATAGTCCCTATTTACTATATACAACTCATCCTCCATATCTGCAAGTTCCACGCCTGCATCCACAGATGCAACCAACCGCCAATAGAAAATATCTGAAAAAACTCACGTCTGCCCTAAGCTTGTGCAGACTTTTTCTCATCATTATTTTCTAAACAATACAGTTTGATAACCGAATGCATTTACACTGCATTAGACATTGTAAGTAATCTAGAGCCGATTTAAAGCATACAGGTGGGTATGGGTGGTGTCTCTGCAAATACTACATCATTCTCTATGAGCATCTGCGGATTATGCAACCAATTGCCTGCGGGAACTGAGGAAGGACTGAAATTCACAACAGAGAATTATTAGGAAATCTCTGGTTTGTTCCCTCCCGGCCACTAGGAGGCGCACGTGGAGAACAGGCCAAAGGGTCCAGAAACCGGAAATGGCTTCCACTTTTGGCGGAAGTAGGTTCCCACCCACCAGGTCTTAGCTTAGAATGAACCCCAAGTTTTCTGTGTGGTCCCAAGAGAAGGCAATCCCTAGATATTAATATGCCTAGATACTAATGTCTAATGCAACACAGATGCACTTCGCATTTTTTGCTGCATTACTTCTGGCACGTCTTTATTTTCATTGAAGGACCCAAAGCCGGAAGTGCTTCACTTTTCCCTGCCAGGACCCAGAGGTTACGCTCCCATCAGCCCTTGCGCGTCACCCTCCCCTCCCTCTTCCTCGGCGCTGCCTCCGTGGTGGCTGCCATCTCCTACTCGGTGAGTCCCAATCGTTCCCCATCCGTCTTCTTATGGTCCCCATCAGGCCTCATCGCTCCCTGGTGAGAATGGCTCCCTTCTTGCGCTGTCATCTCCGTGGGTACTGACGCTGTTGGCTTGCTGGAACGTGCATCGTAACAGCGATGCGGCCCGGGGTCGTCTTGGGGCTTTGCTTCCCGGGGCCGCTTGCCTTATGGGGACCACTTGGGGTCAGTCAGAGGCCGCGGACAGCTTGTTTGGTCCTTGGAGCACGAGGTGCTAGTTCGGGCTAGACTTTGGAGGCTCCCAGCGGCCGTGGAGCGAGCGGAGGGGTCCGGCGTGACAGCCCAGGCGGCCCATGTGTACTGCGCCGCGCCCGCGCTCCTTCGCTCCACCCTTTGGCCCTGGGCTGCCAGCACCGTCCGCTCGGTTAGCAGTTCCGGTGGTGGGTCGGGACCAACGGGATCGTGAAGATGTTACTAGTACTCCCTGCTCTCCCGGGTGTCATGGTGCCGGGGTGTTGGATTCCTGCTGAGTGCCGAGCAAAGTAAACTACAGGAAGGGCGCCGCAGTAAGAAAAGCGGGGTAGCCGGGGAGTCCATCTTGGGTAGGAAACTTTAGGGCGGAGCTGACGCTGTCCAGGTAGAGCAGGGCCCACGGGCGGGAGGGTGGGTGGAGGTTCTGTGTGGTGGAGGCTGCTGCAGAGCCAGCACTGCATGCGTTCGGCGTGGCTGGGGATCTTAAAAGGGTGGGGTTTGCTGCTCCTTGCGAGCTAGGTCTTAGTGTTGGGTTTTAGGCCAGTTGTGGGCATAAGTGCCAGAGCTGTGAGTGGGTGAGGTGACCCTAACCTCCTGGGATCGCGTCTGGAGAGTGGCTCGTATTCTGCCAGCTTCGGAAACAGGAGGGAAAGCAAGCCCGGCAGAGGCACCCATTCCATTCCCAGCTGGCTCAGTAGCTGGTGATTGGAAGACACTCTGCAACATGGCGCAGGCACTCGGCAGGAAACCCTCTTTCCAAGGTTCTTCTCTAACCTGGACTTACTCCGCTCTCAAGGCATCATGGCTGCCCTCAGACCTCTGGTGAAGCCCAAGATCGTGAAAAAGAGGACCAAGAAGTTCATCCGGCACCAGTCAGACCGCTATGTCAAAATTAAGGTGGGTGCTTGCAGGTGGGAGTGTGTGCTGGCTAAGCTGTTGCTGTTGCATTTTATTCAGAGCCTTAGCTTCTGCCGGCGAACTGGCTTGTAGTTGACCTGGGAGCTCTTGAATGTGCCTTTCTGGGTTCTTGAGATGATTAAAGGGCTGTGTGTTTGTATAATGTTTGAGGCCTGAGGACTGCAGGAGAGGGAAGTTGTCTGGTTTTATGGATGAGAGCAGGGTGCACAGCTGTGCCCTCATGTCACACCCAATCTGTTCTTACTTAACCATTGCTTACAAGTGAATGGGACTGCATTTCTAATGTTTAGAACATAAGCAGCAGAAAGTCCTGTCATCCGTGGACAGCACCTGGTTGACATTGAATCTGTTCCTTTTTCCCTGCTCTAAGAGGAAGAGCTGCACAGAGAGTAAGTAACTATCTGGGGTTTTTTCAGCGTAACTGGCGGAAACCTAGGGGTATTGACAACCGAGTGCGGAGACGATTCAAGGGCCAGATCTTGATGCCCAACATCGGTTACGGGAGCAACAAGAAAACAAAGCACATGCTGCCCAGTGGCTTCCGGAAGTTCCTGGTCCACAATGTCAAGGAGCTGGAAGTGCTTCTGATGTGTAACAAGTGAGTGGGGTCCCAGCTCTGGCTTAGCGGGCCAGGGGTCTGCAGCCTGTGAGTGTTTCTGGAAGGAACTGTAGACTCTGGGGTGCTGGAGGAGTAGTTGTGTGTTTGTGGAAATGGAAGGTGGTTCCCTGTGGGAATTTAGTGGCTGCTTATTAAGGAGTTCAAAATGGTTCCTCTGTTTCAGAGGGGGGAGACCTTTGTCCTTACAAGTGTAGAGACTCAGGGAAAAAAGGACTTTGCGTGACAGAGTGAGCACTGCAGCATCCTTTTGGCAGACCTTTCTAGAATGCTGCTCTATGTGAGGGTGGGAGGAAACCACACTGCCTTGTACCTAAGGGACACTGGATTCAGTGCTGAGCAGACTTCCAAAGGCTTAAGGAAAGGCTCGCACCTGCCTGGGGCAGGGCTGTAGAGCCCCGTTCGATCTGAGGGGAGAGGAAAGGAAGAAGGCCCAGGCAGAAAGCATGCTCTACAAGGTGGGGAGTCAGGGCTGCAGATGTTTTGAATAAGTGAGGTGAGCCCAAGGTGAGTGCCGTATGAGGCCTTGGTAGTATTTATCACACAGTTTTATTTTCCTCCTGTCCGGGTAAATGGAAGCCAGAAAGCTCCACTGTCCCAGGTAATGTAAAGGACACGGACAGTGTGACTGAGTGGAAATGTGTGTGTTTACAAAGATCTTTTCTCCAGGGTGGCTGTAGACACAATATAAATGAAGGAAGCCAGTGATCTGAGTTGGCCAGGTCATTGTAAGGTTGGATGCTTAACCAGGCATCGAAGTGCTGGAAATTTCTTTTGGAAAAGGTGAATGTAGGAATCGTAAATATCCAAATCACAGTGGGCAGGTCCACAGCTGAATTCTCAAAGACAGATACAATTTGGTATCTGTGTTGTGACAAAGTAGTCTTCATTTGTAGTGCAAATGTTGCTGATAGAAACATTTCTTTTACATGCAAAATATTTTAGGAGTAACTTGGCAGTGTTTCTCAGACCCAGAGAAATATTCTGTGACATATGACCCACAAGTTCTATCTCTGGGCATTTATCCCTACGTGTCCACAAAGCAGATCCTTGCAGCAGTGGCCAATTGGAAAACAATAGGAAGGTAGTGAGTGGTTGAGTCCATTCAGAATGATTGATTGTGCAACAGTGTGGGAAATGCTACTGACATTAAGATGGCACGTAAGTGCAGGTGGACAAGGATGAGTTTCATGAGAGTGAAAAGAAATGCAATGTGTTTTGTCAAAAACTATGAAAGGTTACAACTACTTTGACCTTTAGTGTGCTGTTCTATGTGAAATCAAAATTCTGCCTAGAGTTAGTGTGTGGTTATTTTTTAGTGGTTCTGGGGTTTGAACTCAGGTGCTCTAACACTTGAGCAACTCCACTAGCCCTTTTTTGTGTTACGGTGTTTTGAGATAGGGTCTAGCAAACTATTTGCCCAGGCTGGCTTTGAACTACAATTCTACTAATCTTTGTCTTCTGAGTAGCTAGGATTACAGATAGGAACCACAGACACTCAGTAGGAATCTGGTTATTAAGGCTGTTTTCTCAGAGTTCTTGAGAAGTGTTTACCTGCTGCCTCGCTTAAGTCATTCAGTCCTGCTTCTCTGGCTGGAATGGCTTTCAGGGGTTGGGAACTGACTGTTCAAAACGTCTCTGGCTTCATCAGTCACCTCATCAAACTAGAAGCCAGTCAGATTCTTGGTCACTTTGCAGAGTTTCAAAACTTCTGACATACAAGGCCAAGTACCTTGAAACTGTTGAGTTGGGTTCGTTCACCAGAGAGTCTGAGGGGAAAACTTTAGAACCTGGAGTCTGGGCGTGTTTTCATAATGGCCCTGCCCGTTGTGCTACTTGGGAAGTCTTGGTGTCGTCTGTAAAGTGGAAGTAGTACCCATCTCGCAGGCTACGGTGAGGACTTGATGAGTGCTTTGTAAACTAGAGCTCCTGTGTCACTGCCGGAGCCTCCACCACAATGCCAGCAGTTGAGGGGCAGGATTGGCCGTCTGTTTGGCACCTCCCTGGTGGCATTTCCAGGGGCCTCTTCCCCACTTGCTTGCTTCCCTCCCAGATCTTACTGTGCCGAGATCGCACACAACGTTTCCTCGAAGAACCGCAAAGCCATCGTGGAAAGAGCGGCCCAGCTGGCCATCAGAGTCACCAACCCCAACGCCAGGCTGCGCAGTGAAGAAAACGAATAGACGGCCCACGTGTGTGTTTTATTTGTGCTTAAATAAACCTTCAAAAACTGTCATCTGGCATTTCCTTCCTTTGGTTTTAGTTCTCGTTTTCTTGATGGGCTTTGACAACTTGTCAGAGGTGTTTTTTGCCTTTTCATACCCTGCAGAATCTTCCATCTGGAGGGGGTTTGTAAAAGGCCTGGATTCTTGCACAGGAAGTTGGGCCTTGGACTCTAGACTAGCCTGAGTCAGCTGCAGGTGGAGTGGGGAAAGGCTTGGCCCTCATACCATACACTTAGGCAGCACTGAGTCATGTTTAGTCTCACCAACGCGGATTTATAAGCACCTGTGGTTCTTGAGAGAACTGGGAAATGTGCATAAAAGCATCAGATGGACTTCAGCGCCCTTGAGTTCTTTCATGGTGTTCCTAGGGTACTGTAATTTCTGTCCAGAAGTCCACAACAGGGAGATACAGCCTGCTTTTACATGATCGGCCCTGGGTACTTGGAAGACAGCAGCCTTCCAAGGTCTGGGATATGACTGATGATAGACCTGGTCAGTGCTCAGAGTTCATGATGCTGAGCAACCTTGGTGATTTCAGTCATGAATCTTACTGCTGTTTTTAGATTCCACTTTTGGAAAAGGCAGTATTTGTACATGGGAGCACAGATCAGAGGGATACAGCGACAACATAAAACACTGCCCCTCTTTTCATGAGATCCCATCAGCAAGAAAGAGCCTCACCAGGTGCGCTCAACCCTTGGACCTTGAGAACTGAACTAAACAAACCTTTACAAAGTGAAGTGGGGAGGAGACATTAGTAACTAGACTTTGCTTTCTAGCCTTACTCTCTAATTATAGTCAACCTACCAGAAAAACGGTGCTGGCTACAAAATGACCCTTTCTAGGTGTCCCAGTCATGATAATGTAATAAGTCCCTTAGTTCCAGTAGGTGAATGTCTTCCAGGTTGCCTTACTGCTGGTCAAAATCTATTCTTGGATATTTGTGCAGTGAACTGGTCACTTCCAGGACTTTAAACCAACTCGATTGTGTTACAGTAGTAACAAGAATTGTGGAAAATGTAACAACTTAGAATCCGTTCTTTATTAACTTCAGATGTCACAGAAAATACTTTGGCCTGACATTTATATTTGTGTATCTTTGATACTAAAAACTAGACATATTTGAAACCCTTCAGAAGGACACAAGCCTGTGGTTATGTCTGGGTGGTAGAGGAGTTAGAAATGAAACATTAGGTTCAAGATTGTCCAAATCCCCCACCCCATCCTCCCTGCAAAACAAAACAAAAAGAAACCTTGGTGTCCTCTCAGTTTCTGATTCACTGCTGTCATGTAGAAATAAAAGCATTCTGAGCTGGGGTGTAGTCAGTGATAGAGTGCTTGACTAGCATGTACAAGGCCCTGGGCTCAATCCCCAGCACCAAAGAAAAATTAGAATGGAACTAAGTTGGGGTGTTTTTGGGGGGGATTGTTCTGGGGTGGAATCCAGGGCCTGGCACATGGAAGGTAAGCTGCTCTGCCAGAGCCACACCTCCTTCACAGGTGTCCCTCCAAAGCACTAATGGCACTCGGTTCAGATGTGAAGTGGGAGTGAGAAAGCTGGGACACATGGCTATGAGCACAGTGGATTTGCCAGCTTGAGACACAGGAACCAGGGTAACTGGAGGGGTGTGGTGTGAGGGTCACTAGAAACTCACCGTAATTCTCTGAATGACCATCTTGAGGTAAAGGACCCACTGTTGCCAGCCTCGCAGATTGGACCAGACCGAGGGCCTGTGAGCTTGGGTCCCTGGAGAAGGCACTGTGCACCCCCACCAGGGGCAGGAGGCCCCCAGTGAGGTGAGGGAAAGGCAGAAGAAGCCTGCGGGGTCGGGGTGAGGCCTGGGGCTTGCAGGGGCTCCTCAGGCTGGGCCCGAGCTGGGGAAAACTAGCTGAGCTCCATGAAATCCATGCTAGGGGCGGGAGTAGAATCCTGGATGCTCTCAAACAAGGTGGTAAGCTCGGGGTTGGTTCGGATTTGGGCAGAGAAGTCGGCCATGATGGGGCTTTTCCCCACCTCGGGGATGGTCAGCAGGGCAGCTACCGCCCTCATGGCAGAGCGCTTCAGTTCATCTTGCTTTTCAAACTCCTGCTTCACGGAGCCGGCCTTGACCTAAAATGGGAGGCAAGGGAAGGGGAGGAGTAGACCTCTACAGAGCCACCCATCCCCACAAGCTCCCCCTAAGCGGGGCTGGTTTGGCTTTCCACCTGTTTGCTTCCCTGATGGGCCTCTGCCCTTCAGGTCACCTGCAGTGTGGCCAAGGGGGGCTGTGACCAGCCCATCCAAATCGCCTACCTTTCCTTTCAGCAATTACCATTCCGGCAGAGATAGCGGGGACGGTAAGCGCAGGGTACTGCCAGTGCTTACAGCCCACCTGGGCGCCCCTGACCACACTGAATCGCTACTGAGATGGGTCCCTGCCCCTGGGAGCTGCTGTGCTCTGCACACACAGCTAGAGAAAATCAGAATTGCCTCCCAAGGTTTGTTTCCTTCTTCCCATCTCCTGTGAATTCAGAGCATCTCAGTAGTTTCTCCACTGCTCAAGAGTAAAGTTCAACTTAACTACGCTGAGCAATTCCCATCGAGAATGCTGTAGTAGGCCAGAGCTGGGTGCTGGGCCCAGACAGTCCTGGGTTCAAATGGCTGGCCCCCAAGAGCTGTGACTTCAGGTGGCTGCTTCCTTGGGCTCTGTTCCCCATCTGTAAGTAAGCTTTCTCTTCAAAGCATTGCTGAGGACTAACTGACCACCCAGGTCCATCTCCCTTCTCTGAAAGCCCTGTGGCCAGATGGGCTTGGAATCCAGGATCGGGGAGGAGGGTGGTGTTGAAAAGATAATGCTAGGGCCAAACACGGTGGTGCATGGCTATAATCCAGGCACTCAGGAGGCTGAGGTAGGCCAGCCTGGGCTACGACACAGGAAGACCCTCTCTCGAATAAAAACAAAACAAAGTACTGTGAAGATAACATTTCAGCGGTGTCTGGCATAATACCCTACACTCAAATGTGTCACTACTTCCTCCACGGTACGTTATGTTACAGAAGGAGGGAACAAGGTCTGTTGCTGAGTAAGTTCTTCAAGCGCTTTTGGTGTTCAGAGCTTTGTAGAGTTAGAATGGTGGACCATGGACTGATTGGATACAAAGTGTTAATGATTTAAACTTACAGGTCAAGTTTCAATTAATGAGCCACTAGTTTTAATCTGTTTCATCCACATAAAATTTCAGCTTTGGGGAAAAGTAACTTGAAAATCCCTGCTTGTGCATGGTGGGGTGCACCTGTAGTCCCAGCACTTTGGGAGGCTGAGGCGAGAGGATGGCTGGAGCCTCAGAGTTTAAGGTTAACTTGGGCAACACGGGGAAGGCCCATCTCAAAAAGGAAGGAAACAGAAAAGAAAACCATTGCTCTCCTTTAAGCTCCAACCTAAAAAATACTTGGCCCTTTTCTGGTTAGTGCCTGCCCTCTCACAGCCTTTCATTCACCAGGTCTTCACTGGAACCCCTTCTCTGGGTTCAGGCTCTTGTCCCCTACACTGCAGCTCCCTCCTCAGGACCTTGAGACACTCCAGTCTAGCAGTGACCTTGTCCTTGATCACTTAATCAATCACAAGGGTTGTGGCCAGCTGCCCAGCTAGGATTTGAGCAGACTGGGAAGAGTGAGCCCATCACATAGTGTCCTTGGTATCTTTCAAAGCCAAGTCCTCAAGAGGTGCTTACTTCATGAAAAAAAAAAAAAGCAGCTGGGTTTGGAGCTGACTCTGGTGAATGACTTCACCTGTGAGTCTCTGTTCCCATGTGGCAACGGTGAGAACAGAAGCATGTCCCAGGGCCATGTAAGGAGAGAGCAGCGGCTCACCCACCACTGCAGTACATTCATGGTGCATGGTGAAACAACGACTAACGAGGCTCAGAGAACACAGCAGGTGGCCCGGGGCTGCACAAGGGCTTACCTTGGCAGTGCAGGTGGCCCTGAGTGGCTCGATGAGCCGGTCCACCCTCTGTAAGACAGGTGCAGGACATAGGGTAGCCAGCCGGGCCAGCATGATGAAGGTCAGCATCTGCCCAGGAGAAAGGAGGCAGAGGTCTCAGTGACACGGTGGGAGAATAAGCAGAGCCCAAGTCCAAACCAGCATGGACTCCCTCCCTCCCTGAGCCTCAGCTTTCTTGTCTAGAACATGTAAGTGGTGACAATGAACATGGCCAGCTACGCCTTGCTGTCCAGTGGATGACTGGGTAAGAAGAGGCACCAGGGAGGGGGTAGGTCGCAAGTTCAGGTGCCCCTGGGATCAGGTGACCCTGTCCATGAGGGAAGAGGCTCACGGGGGCTCGAGCACAAGCTCCACCTGCAGCAGCTACTCAGCGCCAGCTGACGTGGCCAGGTGGGCGAGTGGCTCTGGAGATGTTCTCGGTGTCTCCCAAGGTTCACATGCTGGAAACTTGGTCCCCAACCTTACCCAGGTGAGGCCTTGTGGGAGGTGGTTAGGTCACTGGGGGCACTGCCTTGGGAAGGGATTGATGTAGTCCTTGGAGGATCCTAGCTAGTTCCCGCCTGGGTCCTGAGAACCTCCTGCCTCACCATACGAAGTCTCCTGCATACGCTCCTGTCACGTGATACCATCTGCCACAGGCCTGCACCAGAACCAAGCAGATGCCAACACTGTGCTCTTAGCACTCAGAAAGGTGAGCTAAATAAACCTTTTTTCTTTGGTGGTAGCAGAGTTTGAACTCAGGGCCTTGTGCTTGCTAGGTAGGTGCTCTACTACTTAAGCCATGCCCCAGCCCTTTTTTGCTTTAATTATTTTTTTGATAGAGACTCCAGTTTTGACCCGGGTTGCTTTGGACCATGAAATACTCCTACCTATGGCCTCCCACTTAGCTGGGATCACAGATGCTTGGCACCTTTCCTGGCTTGTTGGTTGAGATGGGGTCTTGCTAATGCTTTGCCTGGGCTGACTTTGAACCTTGATTCTCCTGATCTCTACCGCCTGAGTAGATGGTATTACAGAGCAGTGTGCACCACCATGTCCAGCTAAGCCTTTTTTTCTTAATAGCGTACCCTGCTGCAGGTACTTTGCTATAGCAGCAGAAAACAGACTAATACACTGAGAATGAGGGTGTATAGTTCAGTACCAATGGATTGTTTTCAAAAGAAATCCCTATTTTCCTTTGTTAGTGGGACTCCAGTTTGAACTCAGGGCTTTACACTTGCAAAGTGGGTGCTCTACCGCTTGAGCCACTCCTCCAGTCCATTTTACTCTGGTTGTTTTGGAGCTGGGGTGTCGTGAACTATTTGCCTGGGGCTGGCCTCGAACCTCCCTCCTCCTGAACTCAGCCTCCCAAGTAGGTAGGATTACAGATGCAAGCCACATTGTACTGGCAAGAAATCCCTATTTTCATGTGAAATGTCTTAATTTTTGAATGTTGGTACCTGCATTAAAAAAATCAACACAAAATAAAAACTGCAAGCCACTTAAACATGGCTACAGGTCAGGATTTAGCCTGTAGGAGGGTAACTGACACTGGCAAATGCCCACAAGTGATGCACGGCACAGAGGGCAGCTGTCTGACAAGCCCCACAGCATGTGTTGGGGCCATCACAGCAGAAAGCATCATGAACCTCAGGAGGCGGTACATGTGAGGTGGCTCACGCCTGCAGTCCCCGCACTCGGGAGGCTGATGTGGGAGGCTGATGTAGGAGGATCTTGAATTTGAGGCCAGCCTGGGCAACATAGCAAGAATCTGTCTCAAAGAAAAAACAAAAAAAGCTGTATGAGCTATGATTCTTAACTCCTGTGCTTCCTGACTTGTGCCTCAAACTGGCCAAGTCTCCCGTCTCTCTCGCTGAAGAAGTGAAGACCTGAAGACACGGTGAGTGCCGCAGAGACGTCACCCTTGCCCCCCTAGCTTCAGAGGGCTTCATGGCAAACGGGCCTGGCCTGCTCCCCTGGAGGCCTGCTCCCTGGAGAGCTGTCAAGAGGAGGGCATGAGGGCCAGGTGTGGTGGCTCACACTTGTAATCCTAGTGTTTTGAGAGATGGAGATCGGACAGAGGATCGTTGTCCACGGCCAGCTCAAGCAAAAGCTGGTGAGACCCTCCCTACCTGAAAACAAACAAAGCAGACAGCAGGGTGGGCGGAATGGTTCAAGTGATAGAGCGCCTGCCTAGCAAGTGTGAGGCCCTGAGTTCAAACCCCAGTACCCCCACCCCAAAAAGAAAGTTACAATGGAACCTGAGCGTGTAGCTCTGTGGCATCGTACATGCTTAGCGTACTCCAGGGCCTGGGTGGGTTTAATCCCCAGCATTAAAACAGAAAAAGGTTAAAATGGTAAATTTTGCGTTTTGCATATGCATTACAATGAAAAGGCAACTGCTCCTATTACGATGTGAGTAGACTTCAGCACTTTCTGCAATGAAGAAACCTGCCTCTTCCAGGTCCTGGTGGCCCCACCTTTGCCCACAGGTAAAGAAACGGCCCAAAGGTCCAGCACTGTTATCGAAACAGCACATCTTGGTGACCGTCCAGCTCACTGTGCGATGCTGCTGGCGCTCCGTGACCAGAGGGACACAATCAGTCTGTTGTGTGGGTTCTCCATGATGGACATTTAGGGAGTCACCACCTTTCCCTGTTCCCAGAGGGCTGTGGGGGCAACGCTGTATGGGAGAGACTCTGGCACATGAAGGAGTGGCCCAGAGGCTCTGCACGTGGTGACGTGAGATAAGCCCAGGCAAGTGTGTCTGGGGTCTGACATCTCTAAACACTGCAAACCGTCCTGCTAAGAGTATGCCTGTGCGTGCTCCCACGGAAGGGGTCTGAAACCTGGTGCCGTTTTCTTTCTTTCTTTGTTTTGTTTTGGTTTTTGGCAGGACTGGGGTTTGAACTCAGGGCTTCACGATTGCAAAGCTGGCACTCTACTGCTTGAGCCATGACTCTAGCCCATTTTACTCTGGTTATTTTGGAGATGGGTCTTGTGAACTATTTGCTCGGGATGGCCTTAAACTAGATCTTCCCAGTCTCAGCCTCCCAAATAGCTAGGATTACAGGCGTGAGCCACAGCACCCAGCTGGCTCCCTTTTCTTATCAGAGAATAACAAGCTGCTGTCATGGGTGCCTGGAGGAGGGTCTGTGGCACTTCTGGCTGTCCCTTGCCAGGGTGGGCAGGGGCCTGGCCAGGGGTGCACTCCTACCCGGATGTCATAGTGGTCCTTCAGTCCATCCTCCACATGGTTCAGGAACTCACAGATGTCCAGCTGGCCCAGGCAGCTATCCAGCAGCGAGTACATGCACTCAAAGGCTGCCTTCCGCACATCCAACCCATCGTCCACTGTGTGCCTGAAGGGCCCCATCTCCACCTGCAGGACAGAATGACATCTGAGGAGGTGGCCCAGGGTGGAAGAACACCACCCCCTTCCTGCTACACAGCACACCTGTGTTCCACACCGTGTCCCCGCCACAGGTCATGCCTCATGGACTCAAGTGTCACGCCTTTGCTCAGCTCAAGATGCCAGCAACAATAAACATGACCGTTAGAGCTACTGAGAGCGCGCTGTCTGAGGGTCAGGCTGTACTGAATGCTTGACAAAGGACATCTTTTTGTGTGTGTGGTGCTGGGGATCAAAGCCAGGGCCTCGTGCTAAGCACACACTGTACAACTGAGCTGCACCCTCAGCCCGACAGACGATACCTTTCTCAAGCACCACAGATGCTCCCAGGAAGAAGGCGCTATCACTAACCCCTTTAATGTGGAAGGAAACTAAGGCTGAGAGGTTCATGAACTGGCCAAAGGACACAGCTGGAAAAAGGCCAAACCAGAATTACAAACCCAGGTCTCTCTCAGGCTTTTTACCACGAGGCTCAGCTTTTAATGGTCAACTCCTTCTCGTGCCTCAAAACACAGCTACAACGCCCCCCTCTTTTGCGAAGCTTTTCCAATCCCTCTAATGAGTTACTTCTTCCTCGGTGATGCCTGGCAGTTGGGACCTTGTTATGTCACTGTGATGGCTTAGTTGTCCAGTCACCTTTACACTGTGCCTCTCAACCCCTCTCTCTGCCCTAGGCAGGCAGCAGGGCGGATACCTCTCTCCTCCAGAAGGCCACGCAAGCTCCTTGCTGGCAGAAACCATGTCTGATCCAACTCGGAGCCCTAGCATTCGGACTCAGCTGCTGGGTGCCAGCACCTGCAGCTGGGGCGTTCCTATGTACAATGCTTGGCATGGGACCAGCCATTCTGGGATTTCATTTTTCTGGATTTTGGAGTATTTGCACATCCATAAGGTGAGACTGTAGAGTTGGGACCCAAGTCTACACAAAATTAATGTTTTACATGACCTTACATACACAGCACAAAAATCATTTTATATATATTTAGGGGGCCTGCATTTTGACTGTGACCCATCACACGAAGTCAGGTGTGGGACTTTCCCCTTGTGGCACCAGGTTGACACACAAAAAGTTTCCAAATTTGGAGTATATCAGACTTTGGATTTTTAGATCAGCCATGTGAGCACCGGTTTACATCCCCGGAGGGTCCTGAGCCCTGCTAGGACTTCACTCACTGACTCCTTGTGACAGCCCTGTGAGGCCCTGGGAAGAAACAGGTTCAGTCGGATCAGGCTACCAGCCCTGCCAGGGAGGCACCAGAAGTGGCAGCAGCCCAGATTTCCCAGGGGACAGCTAACAAGGAGCTGGCCAGCACAGGAGCGCTGCTCAGCCCCGCACCTCTCGAATGAGGTCCCGGCGGATCTTGGTCTCCTGGTAGAGGAGGGGCAGGATGTCGTCCAGCAGGTCCCGGACCAGCGAGGGTTTATTGTGCACAGCTGAGTTGAAGAAGGCCAGAGTGGCCCGGCGCACACTCAGGTCTGGGTCCTGCAGGCTCTCCATGAACTCTCCTGCAGAGGACAATGACAGGGGCACGGAGCCAACATGCAAATCCATCTCCCCACAGCACCCTGGTTACTGTGAGCTGTGCAGCCCTGACACCTGGCTTCCCTCTGGACATTCCTACATGACTACGGGACCTTGGAGAGCCTTGATGACCTCATCTGTAAAATGGGGAGCTCCATGGTAGGACGGGGTGGCTTTTAGGCAGAGTGCCTGGCTCAGAGGAAGGACTCTGTGAGCGCATTCATGTTACACCTGAGGCTCCTGAAGACAGGAGGGCGAAATGCTGTGAGCGTCACAGCACCATTCACAGGGTGCCTTGTGTGCAGGTTAGACTTTCGAGAACTTTGCTAGTGCTTTATTTTTCTGGGGAGCTGGGAATTGAACCCATGGCCTTGTGCATGCTAAAAAGGTGCTTTACCACAAGCTATACCCCAGTCCCCTAGAACTTCGCTAGTATTTTTTAAATTAAATTTTAACTGATAAATAAGAACATTAAAATGGCTGAGCACTGGTGGCTCACGCCTGTAATCCTAGCTACACAGGAGGCAGAGATCAGGAGGATCATGGTTCATAGCCAGACTGGGCAAGTAGTTCACGAGACCCTATCTCAAAAAAAAAAAAACAAAAAACAAATCCATCATTTCAAAAAAAAAAAAAAGGGTTGGAGGAGTGACTCAAGATGTAGGCTGTGAGTTCAAACCCCAGTACCAAAACCAAAAACAAACAAACAAAAAAAAGATACCACTTGGCAAATAACCGTGATTGCTGATTCAGGCAAGAAACAAGGACGGAGGCAGAAATCGGAGGAGGAGGAGGATCTGTACATAGACTCAAACAGACTCATTCCAAAGGAAGAAAAGGAGCTTTGTTAATTTTAGTTTTTGGTGAAGATGGAATTTAGGGCTCTGCACAAGATGGGCACACGATCTACCTCTGCAGTAAAATAATGATGGAGTGGAGACACCTGGCAGTGTCCAACTCAACCAGGTGCACCAGGAAGGATGCAGTCTCACAGCAGAGGGCTCCACCCCAGCACAGGGAACCTCTGGGCCCTTCCTACTGTGCCACACTGGCTACCAGAGTCCTCCTCCTCTTTGGCGAGAACCCAGCTATGGGAAACTGGCAAGACGTGAGTTCAAAACCCCTCTCAGAGAATCAGTTCCCTCATCTGTAAAATGGGGCCAGTGCCACATACCACACAGGGGTCTGTGAGAATCAACGGTGATGAACTGAATTAAAGGCCATAATCTCGCACCTGATGCAGTGAGGGCTCAAGATCTAGGGTTCACACATACAAAGCCAAACTCAAAACTTCCCAGTGGAGGCCTCTGGAGGTGCCAGCCATGTGCAGCTCAGGCAAGACAGGGGAAGTCCAGCTGGGAGGTGTGCCTGCTGGTTGGGACACGGAATGAAGCCACCACATCTTGCTGGAGAATATGACCGCCAGTTCAGAGTGTGGTCACATCACTGACCCTTTCGTCTTGCACAGCCCCCAGCAGGTGGGATCAGCACCGCTACTTCATAGCTGAGGATGAGACACCTGCCCATACTCACAAGCCAGGGAATAGCAGCGCCAAGAATCAACGCCAAAGCTGGTGAGCACCACGCCCTCTCGGGGCTCCACGTAGCTGCCCTTCCTGGACAAAGAGGGCTGGGATTCTGGTGTGGTCCCATGACAGGCCACAGGATCCAGGCACAGAAGGGTGAGGAGCAGCCTGGCTCTGTAGAACCCAAGGGAGGGCAAGGCCTCCTCCCAGCATTCCTCTGGCCAGAGGCCCTCAGACAGGGGTGGCTGGGTGCTCACAGGCTCAGGTATGCCAGTCCTCCACTTTCTGGAGCTTGTGCCTTTACAGAGCATGTTTTCCCCCAGTAGCCTGTGCTCTTTCCAGGTGGGCACCATGCCCACTTGATGGGTAAGGACACTGAGGCCCAGCAGGGAGAGGAGCATGCTAAGCCCGCCCAACAATTCAAACCCAGGTCTCCCAACGTAAGACTCGGGCCCTTCTGCCCAAAGGGGAAGCAATGTGACCTTCAGGTCTCTGACCACCCTGGGCTAAGTGTATGAGCACCGGGGAAGGCAGGAAAGGTGCTCACCGATGAAGCTCTTCAGGAGCTGGTCGATGGGGTGGGGCTGGTCTGAGATGAGGAACTTCACTGCTGTGATGACCGTGCTCCGGGTATGTGGCTGACCTGCAGGACAAAAGGGGGCCATTCAGCAAGAAGCAGACCAACCTGGAGTATGCAGCTGCAACTGCACCCCTTCCCCACTTGCAATACCCCCTCCTGACTCTGGGGAAGCTAATGCGACCGTTCTCCTTGGCAGTCTTGAACCTGCCCTGCATTCTTCCTCCTGTGGCTGAGAAAGAACTGGCAGTTCTGAGGTGATGGTACCCAAGACGGTGCTTGCTCGCTACAGATAGGCTTCCCTCCCGCCTTGAGGCCACACCACAGTTTCTCCCAGTGAATCATGACGCTCCTATTAACCTCAGGCCACACAGTGAATCCTGAGTTCCTGGCCGGGTACTTCCTGCTGGGCCTCAGTGTCCAGCAAGGCCCCAGTCTGCTTCTGACAGGCTGGAGGCCAAGGAGATTCCCACAATTCAGAGCACCCTCAGCTTGGTGATGAAAAACTCATTTATTCTGCTTTGCTGCTCACTTTCTGAGTGGAGAGGCTGAAGAATGGCAGGGAGGTGCATTTCCCTTACTGATGACAGAAACGTGCCAGGAGATCCCTGACTCTAAATTGCTTGCTATGACTCGAGAATTGAGTATTAGAAAAACACTGGGGCTGGCAGAGTGGCTGAAGCAGTAGAGCACCTGCCTAGCAAGCGTGAGGCCCTGAGTTCAAACCCCAGTACCACAGAAAAAAAAAAAGAAAAAGAAAGAAAGAAAAAACAAGCCAGCCAGGTGCAGTGGCTCATACACGTAATCCTAGATACTCAGAAGACAGAGGCAGGAGGATATTGGTTTGAACCCAGCCTGGACAAAGATGTGGACAGCCTGTCTCAAAACAAAGTAAGGGCCAGACCCAACAGCACACACCTGTCATTCCAGCTACATGGGAGGTGTAGGTAGAAGGATCACAGCCTGAGCAAAAGCTTGAGTTCCTATCCAAAAAATAACTAAAAAACAAAAAAGGGCTGACTGGGTGGGGGTGGCTCAAGTGGGAGAACACCTGCCTAGCAAGGCAGTTCAAACCCCAGTACCACCAAAAAGAAAGAAAGAAAGAAAGAAAAAGCTAAGAAAAAAAAGAAAAGGCAAAGGCAAACAACAGCAGGGAGGAGGATGGAGTCTAGGAGGGGTGTGTGCAGGGAGAGCCCACCAGAAGTTCCAGGAACTTGCTAGGAGCAGGCCACTAATTTGGGTCCTAACCTTACCAACAGCAGGTGGTAAGAAGGAAATGTGGCCAGGTAGCTGGCTCTGTACGTGGGACAGAAATCAATCAGTGCCTAGAGAAAGCAGGACTCTTCCTCTTGAGACTCTTGTCTCTCAAGATTCCTCGTGCAATGTGATAGATGACGTCCGTAACAATGTGCTCCCTTGTCCACGGGTGACCAGGAACCGAGCAACTCCAACAGGTCTTAGCTGTAACACTGACACACGCAGCATCAAGAGCAGCATTAACTCGGGTGCCACACACAGAGCCTCACGGGCGTCACGTCAGTCAGTGCACCTGCTGCTCCCATCAGGGACCTGCGGAGGCCTGGAGGCCTTTGATACTGAGGCTCTCACACGTAAGAACCCACAACCCACCTGCCTGCCTTCTCTGGGAGGTCTGAAACACCCTGACATATCCCGACATGACATGACACACCTGCCCTCCTGGTTCCTGCCTGCCCCTCTCCAAATCCCAGGGCCATGCCGTGCATCCCAGCATACACTGGCGCTTGCTCTTGGCACGAGCTGGCCTGAGTATGCTCGCTGCCCCTCCACAGCCCCGGCCCCTCAGAGAAGCACTTTGGTTAGCCTTCGCCTGGCATCCAAACCAAGGATTGCGAAAATGGCCTCATGAATTTTCATACTGTACAGCTGTTCCTTGGGATCCTCAGGGGACTGGTTTCAGGACCCATGTGGATACCAAAACTCAAGCATGCTCAAGTCTCAAGTTCCTTCTATAAAATGGTCTGCTATTTGCACAGAACTGAAACACATCCTCCTGTGTTTTTTCTTTTTGTGGCACTGGGGCTTGAACTCAGGGCTTCATGCTTGCTAAGCAGGTGCTCTGCCACCAGAGCAGCTCCTCCAGTTCCCTCCCCTGTACTTTGAGTCAGCTCTAGGTTACTAGAATGGCTGTGTCACAACAGGAAGAAAGACCATATGTGCTCAGTACAGACACTTTTTTTTCGAATGTTTTCAATCCAGGGTTGGTTGACTGTGGATGCAGCACCCTTGGCAAAAGGGCTGATTGTACTTTCAACAGGGACACATCAAAGGCTCTGTCTGTCCCTTTGTCCCAGAGATCCTGCAGAAGAAAGTCTGTAAGCCTCGGGGACACAGAGCCTCCCACTGTGGGTCTTCTGCCATGATGCATGGACATTCTGGAATGCAGTGACGAAGCTCACTCAGCACAAGCCCCCTTTGCCTGTGTCTGTGCCTTACCTGCAGCAAGCTGCTTCCGGAAGCGGGGCAGAAGGAACGGGGGGTTCACAAGCACCAGCTTCCCAATGCACTCGGCCACCACGCCCCGGGTGCCCTCCTCAGCGCCCTCGCAGTGCTGGAAGAGCAGCGCCCAGACATCCTCGGCGTAGGGCTTCAGGCTGTCGGGCTGGGCGGCCCCCAGGGCCTCCCTGAGTGCGATCAGCAGCAGGTACTGCCGCCGGGGCTCAGCCTCGATCTGTGCCAGCAGGAAGGGCAGGAAGTCGGGCAGGTTGCCAGCACCCACGCGGCCCAGTGCGTAGGAAGCTGCGGCCCTCACATCCTCACTGGGCGACCCCAGGGCTTCCAGGAGCACGGTCTTCAGCTCCCGCTGGGGGCCAGGCCCCGCCACTTGGCCCACCTCGGCCAGTGACAGGAACGCCAGGACCTTGACCCCCGTGCTTGAGTGGGGTGACCTGGCATCGCTGACCAGGCGGCTGGCAGTGCCTGCCGCCTCTTGGGGGCAGGCAGCCGAGAGGGCAGCCACACACCGGGCCAGTGAGTGGAACACCTGCTTGTGCAGGCCAGTCCCACCGTCCCCAGTCTGGTCATAAACAGGTGCAGTGAGCAGGGCGATGAGCTCAGCGTAGTCCACACATGGGGCCGGGTCCCCACCAGCGCCTGTAGGAACCCTTCTGTGGCTGCCAGCACCCCGGCAGGCAGCAGGGGCGACTGTAGCAACTGCAGCAGCTCTGCCAGTACCGGGCCACTGACCTCCACCAGAGAGGTCGGCTGGGCCTGGGTCACTGTGGCAAGGAAGTCCACAGCCAGCTGAGCTACATGCATGTCATTCTCGCTGACCAGAGCTGGCAACTCAGCCAGCACTGCCCGCACAGCAGGTGGTGGGAGGCTGAGTCCCTGACTCTGAGCCAGGGCATCCAGGGCAGCCAGTGTGGCCAGCCGCAGTGCCCGCTGGTTCTTGCGCAGGAATGAAGCCAGGATGGGCAGTGCCTCGGCCAGGATGAGCCGCAGGTCGAGCTGTAATGGGGACTTGGCCACCAGCGTCAGTGCCTTAACAGCAGGCAGCCGGGTGATCTCATTCTTCAGGCGCTCCAGGAGGAGCAGCAGCGTGGGCTCCAGATCATCCCCAAGCCGGTCACCCAGGTGGCCCACGAGGTGGCCCATGCAGGAGATGGCCCGCTCCTTCACCTCCTGGTCCAGGTCAGTGGCACGGAGTCGTGCCAGAGTGGCTGTGGACATCTCCCCAACATACGGCTCAGGGTCCAGCATCCAAGGCCTATCCAGTGGCCACAAGGCCCTCACCAGCACCTGGAGCACCAGCAGGGCCTCGGCTGCAATCTTGTAGAAAGGGTCGGCCACACAGGCCAGCACAGGTGGCAGGAGGGTGGGCAGGTGTGGATGGAAGGACTCGGCTGGTTCTGTGCCCAGCAGGCTCTGCAGGAAGGCCAGGGCATCCATGCGGATGGTAGAGCTGCTGGATCGGTCAGCCAGGGAGAAGACGATGCCTGTGGGTAGATACAACATGGGTTACAGAGCCACAGAGCCTGACCCAACACGGCCCTCCACGGAAGCAGGATGGAGTAGCCACAGACCTTAAACTCTTCTGCAGAAGCTTTGAGAGGCTACTGATTGGCTAGGGGACAGAGCACAGGGAATTAGGCTGGAGCCCACCCTGATAGTGGTGGGGAGTCACCACAGGGGTGTCAGCCTGGGAATGGGGGATGCTTAATTCAAGCAGAGGTCTGGGTTCTGGAAGAGGCCCAGACAGAAGTCACCCAGCTGCGGTCCAGCCTACCTGACACCAGTGTGGGCATGTGCTCAGCCAGGCTGCTGGGGAGGACAACTGCCAGCTCGGTAAGAAGGGTGAAGCAGCCCTGGCGGGCCCGGATGCTGCGGTCCTTAAGTTGCCGTTGCAGGGCCTTCATCACCAGGGGTACCTGTGGGCAGGCAGGCAGGTCAGGGACTGGCCAGGGGGCCTCTCCAGTGTACCTGCCACCCCGGGGCTTTGCCAAGTGTCTCCCCAGAGAGGCTGCCGAGGATTCAGGATGCCTTTCCAGTACCCAGTGCTCTGTGCTGCTACCTGATTACAACACCCAGATGCTCAGAGGCAAGAATCTTGCATGTCTACAAGTACAGAGAGAAAACAGTGGCTCCAGGTCACCCAGGCAGTGTGTGTGTCGCTACCACCAGGGGCCCCTTCCTTCCCTCAACTAGATTCCCTCCCCATGGGCTTCTAAACCCAGAGATGCTAACGACACCCACGTCTACACCTCCAGCACAACTCACCAACTTCTGCCTGCCTGACAGCTCAACTTCAGCATCTGCTATGGCTTATGTCCCCCAGGGGTTCATGTGCTGGAAGACTGGTCCCCAGGGTGGTAGTACTGGGAGATGGTGGGACCTTCAAGGGGTGCAGTCAGTGTGAAGTCCTTGGGGTGATCACTTTGGAAGGAATTAAGTAGTTTTCATAGGACTCGTTTTCAAATTATCTACTGTTTTTTTTTGGCAGCACTGGGGTTTGAACTCAGGGCATCAGGCTTGCGAGGCAGGTGCTCTACACTTGAGCCACTCTGCCAGTGCTTTCAAGAGAGAATTATTATAATAAAAGAGCCTGGCCCTTCTCTTCCCTCGGGCTCCCAGTCTTGCCATGTGGTCTCTCCCTCTCCTATGTCTTCTGGCCATGATGTAATGTAGCCACGGGAGGCCTTACTAGAGCACACACCATGCTGCTTGCACTTTCCGTCTCAAAAACTCTGAGCTTATAAATAAGCCTCTTTTCTTATTAAGTACCCACTGGTATTTTGTTATAGTAACAGAAAATGCTCTACTTGCAGCCATCCAATGAGGACCTCAAACATAAACATGCAGAAGCCTACATGTTACCTCCGCTCTACTTTCCCCCATCCCAGGGAACAGCAAGCACTTCACGCTTTAGCAGAAACCGGAAAGTCACGTGACACCTGCCTGTCCTGCTCACATCGAATCCGTCTGTAAAAGCTGATGATTCAACCCAAAACCTACTTCTCGGCCTGACCATCCTGTCAGTCCCTCGGTGGCCACTGGGCCTCAGGGACCATCTCTCATCACCCAGGCAGCTACATGTCTTCCTGTTGGTACCCAACTGTGACTCTTGCTCCATTGTGGTCCATTCCCTAGCGGCCAGAGTGAGTTTTCCAAAGTGAACTGGACCCCGTCACCCCAGCCCATGGTTTCTGCTTACTCTTAGAGTAAAACCAACTACTCACCCATCCTCAAGACCAACTAGGGTTTCTGACTACCTGCCCGAGACTGTCCTGTGCAGTCCAGGGTGCAGGGACTTGAGCTGAACTGTACGCAGGACCAGGTGCAGGATAGGTGCTCAATACACACCCAGCAGGAAGGATGGGAAGGTGGGCTGGTGAATGGAGGGGTTGGGAACAGGTGAGTGGGCAAAGGCATGCCCACCTGTGCCCGCAGCATGTGCAGGTTGCTGCCAGTCTGGGTGGGCTCTTCCACGGCCTCCAGCCACCCTCTGGGGGTCGCGTCTGTCGCAGCAGCACGATATACGCCCCAAAAGATGTCAGCCTTGACGTTCTCCTCCCGTTCCTTGAAGCGGCGGATGAGTGCGGGCGCCAGGGTGCAGTGGAAGTCGGCAGCAGGTCGGGCCGCGAGCCGATCAGGCGCCATGCACTTGGCTGCTGCCCTGCGCACCTTCCAGCTCACATCGTCATCGTCACTGTACTCGTCCTCACTCTCTGGGGCAGGAACAAGACACACATGGAGCCCTTGTCTCCTCAGACAGGTGTGCTCAGGGCAGGAGGGGCAGGTACCGGTAGAAATGCCACCCACCCTTTGAACATTGTGTGCTAGGGATGGCATCCAGCACAGCACACCCATATCTCATTTCAGCCTTGTGATGACCTTGTGGGGCAGGGCTTATGTCGCAGGTACAACAGAGGAAGCGGCTTGCCCACGTTGGGGAAACACCAGGATTAAACTGGAGCCCTCTCGGCCTCCAGTCCCTAACCGTCTGACTGCACCAAGGGAAAAACTGACTTCTGAGTCCACCATGGAGACTCGCAGATCCCATCTGGGGCACGAGAGCCATGCTTCGCCCTCTGGTCTGGCTGTGTGGTGTTTTATTTATTGGGATTCCACAAGGCAGAGGCACCACAACCCCCTGGGGCCTCCTCCCTCAGCCCAGCCCCAGTCTCTCAGGGGTCCCAATTCCGCAGGCCTCTCGGCAGGACTAATACCAAGGCCAGACTGGGTCTGGGAAGATTCCCACTCTACAAGCCCCCAGAGGCAGCAGTCGCCACACCTCGGAAATAAAGGTGCTCTGGAGCCCCATTCCACACAGCAAGGTTCAGAGAGGGTGAGAGACTTTCCTAGGGGCACACAGCCAGGAAACTGCAGAGCTGAGATTCAGGGCCACAAGACCTGCCCATGTCACCTGGGGTGAAACTTAGAAGAGTATGGTTTTACAAAGAGCACCCTTCAGCACACACTCAGAGGCCAGGGTGTTCCTATCCGTCCTTGTCTGTTGCTAACTCAGACTCTCAGAGCACAGGCATATGGATGAGCCACAGTAGGTCAGTGCAGCAGACATCCCCTCTGCTGGACCCCTGCTTGTTCCCTCCACCCTATACCACCCTAGAGGAAACATCCACAGCTATTACTGGAAAGAAAACGGCCAAACTCCCTGGTTGGCATTTAAGGCCCCATCATGCCTGTCTGATCTTGTTCCTATAAGGTGCTAAGCCCTAGTCTCCATACACACCCTTTAGGACCCTTTAGGGTCCAGGGGCCTCTCTGCCCTGGAAATCTGTCTGAGTGAGCAAGAGGACCAGAGGCACAAAGCAAAAAACCACCAAGTAGTCCCCCAGCCAGACCTCCCCTCACACCATCAGGGCTATCTTCCTCTATCAGAGCTTCCCTGCTGGATTAAAGGCAGTGTCTTGAAAGCCATGTACAAAAGACAACGGCTCAGAGGTGTTGGGGGGGTCTGTCAAAGCAGGCTCCAAGGCCCTGCTGTGCCACCTCCTAGTTGTGTCATCTCAGTGGGTCTCTTCTCTGTCTCAGATTCCTTGTTTTTTGGGGTCATTGTGAGGAATACGACATAAAAGAGCTTAGATATCAGTAGATATTGAATGAATGGCAGCAGTCTTAGTCATTCCTCAGTATTTGTGGGGTGGGTTCTGGGACCCTCTTGGATGCCAAAATCTAAAAATGCTTAAGTCACCTCTATAAAACGGCTTAATATTTGTATAGACCCTACACCCGTACTGCCTATACCTCAAACCATCTCCACGTTACTCGTAACACTGGTACGATGTACAGCTACGGAAATAGTTACTTGTCACACTGTACCATAGCTGTTATAATATAATAAATGATATAATACAATGAAAACTTGTTATTCTATATAACAGTTGTCCCACCAAACATTGTTTGAAAGAAGGGGGAGAGAGAAAGGGAGAATGAGAATATTATCGGTAAACTTGTTCAAGGGACACTGTACGCATGTATTGAATTATCACAATGAAATGCCCTCATATTATTAATGTATGATCGATCAAAGACTTAAAAAATACTTTAAAAGTTGGAGCCAATTAGAGAAAAATAGTTGTATTGTTTTGGGAGAAAAAATGCCCGTGCTGGTTCAGTATAGATGGGATTTTTTTCTAAGCATTTTTGATACACGGTTGGTTGAGTATGTGGACACAGAACCCACAAACACAAAGGACCAGCTGTCCCCTTCCACCTTCCTTCCTGTGATTGCACAGTTCAGGATGGGGGATGGGGTCTCAAATGAGCCGGCCATTGCATGGGCCCAGATATATCCCATCTTTGGCTGGGGTATCCTGGGAAGGCCATGCCCCTCTCCATCTCCAATACCCACAAAGGCTGTCCACCCACCTTGCTCACTGAAATCGCTGTCCTCAGTCTCCATCTGTTCCTCATCCTCGTCACTGTCATGGTTGTAGTTGGGGTCATGTTTCATGTACTGGAGGCAGAGGCTGGTCACATTGGGCACATGAGGGCCCATCTCCTTGGGGCACCTGTGGGGCAGGATGGGGAGGTGCTGCTGGACAGGGTGGGCCCAAGGGTGAGTCCTATGACTTTATTGTTTTGAGGCTGGCACCCTGTCCCCCGTCCCCACAAATTCCAAAAGAACTCTGGGGGCCCAACTTCCACCCCACTTCACCTACTTCCTCAGAAAGGCCTCAAAGGCCTGGAGGCAGGACTCCCGGAGCTCATCATCATCCAGGTTGCAGAAGTCCTCCACCAGGGGCATCAGACGGTCCAGGTGGGCCCCTGCAGGACCATGGGGTCACTGAAATGGCCAGACCATCCCGTGGTCCCCCATCCCATAGCACTCAGCCTGTCCTGGACACTTCAAAACTCAACTCAGGCTTCATGAGCAGGCAGATGTGGGGTTAGCCCCAAGTGCCACCTAGATGGAGGTCACAAAGACTTACTGACTCAGTCTACTTATCTTCACAGTATGGGGAACGATGCCTGCTGGCAGCAATTTTGTGAGGATGAATGAGAGAGGATGTCATTAGAGCTTAGCTCAGGTTTCTGCACAGAGCGGGCACTCAGTAAGTACCATATGCTGTCGAACCATTGTTTGGGACCTTGCCTTATTCCTGCACTGGGATAAACCTCCAGATGGGAGAAGGGGGAAGGCAGTACTGCCCTCACAGACCTGGCAAAAGGGGTCCCCACCTGGTCCCCAGCCCTTAAAAATCCCACCTGGACCCTTGGTAGCTACAACCCCCCCACAGTACAAGAAGGGACCCCCCTGTACTTCTCATATGTCTTTTTCTAGACACTACTTTGGATACCTGGGACCGCACAGTTTCCTGCTCAACCATCCAGAGCCTTTGTGCAGGGCTCTTTCCCAGGGCCACACTTCCAAGGGTGGCCAAGGAGTGGCTTCATTTGGGGGGGGTTAGACCCAGAGTGACATGTGCACTGGGTGGGGCATATCCCAGGCTAGCAAAGCCTCCTGCAGTGAGAACCAGGGCTGGAGGGGCTGACTGCAGGCTGAGTCTACCTGTACTGCTTTGCACTAGCTTGGAACTCTTATCAAGGAGTCTGAGACTGGGGCTGCACCTTTCTGAGACCTCTCCTGTACAGCTTTTCTTCCCTACTTAACAAACCTCTGCTCACTTGGCTCGCTGGGGTGAATCAGAGGGAGAGATGAACTATGAAGGGCAAGGAAATTTGAGGAGATGACTGAAAAATATCACATCTTGATTGTGGTCAGGGCTTCCTGAGTATATCTAAAGGTCAAAATGTACTGATGTATACATTTTAAATAGTGTGGTTAATTATATATATGTTAATCCCCAATAAAATTAGAAATAATCTAAACTTGGCTCACGGGTTGTTGGAATGTCCCCCCCCCCCCCCCCCCCCCCCCCCCCCCCCCCCCCCCCCCCCCCCCCCCCCCCCCCCCCCCCCCCCCCCCCCCCCCCCCCCCCCCCCCCCCCCCCCCCCCCCCCCCCCCCCCCCCCCCCCCCCCCCCCCCCCCCCCCCCCCCCCCCCCCCCCCCCCCCCCCCCCCCCCCCCCCCCCCCCCCCCCCCCCCCCCCCCCCCCCCCCCCCCCCCCCCCCCCCCCCCCCCCCCCCCCCCCCCCCCCCCCCCCCCCCCCCCCCCCCCCCCCCCCCCCCCCCCCCCCCCCCCCCCCCCCCCCCCCCCCCCCCCCCCCCCCCCCCCCCCCCCCCCCCCCCCCCCCCCCCCCCCCCCCCCCCCCCCCCCCCCCCCCCCCCCCCCCCCCCCCCCCCCCCCCCCCCCCCCCCCCCCCCCCCCCCCCCCCCCCCCCCCCCCCCCCCCCCCCCCCCCCCCCCCCCCCCCCCCCCCCCCCCCCCCCCCCCCCCCCCCCCCCCCCCCCCCCCCCCCCCCCCCCCCCCCCCCCCCCCCCCCCCCCCCCCCCCCCCCCCCCCCCCCCCCCCCCCCCCCCCCCCCCCCCCCCCCCCCCCCCCCCCCCCCCCCCCCCCCCCCCCCCCCCCCCCCCCCCCCCCCCCCCCCCCCCCCCCCCCCCCCCCCCCCCCCCCCCCCCCCCCCCCCCCCCCCCCCCCCCCCCCCCCCCCCCCCCCCCCCCCCCCCCCCCCCCCCCCCCCCCCCCCCCCCCCCCCCCCCCCCCCCCCCCCCCCCCCCCCCCCCCCCCCCCCCCCCCCCCCCCCCCCCCCCCCCCCCCCCCCCCCCCCCCCCCCCCCCCCCCCCCCCCCCCCCCCCCCCCCCCCCCCCCCCCCCCCCCCCCCCCCCCCCCCCCCCCCCCCCCCCCCCCCCCCCCCCCCCCCCCCCCCCCCCCCCCCCCCCCCCCCCCCCCCCCCCCCCCCCCCCCCCCCCCCCCCCCCCCCCCCCCCCCCCCCCCCCCCCCCCCCCCCCCCCCCCCCCCCCCCCCCCCCCCCCCCCCCCCCCCCCCCCCCCCCCCCCCCCCCCCCCCCCCCCCCCCCCCCCCCCCCCCCCCCCCCCCCCCCCCCCCCCCCCCCCCCCCCCCCCCCCCCCCCCCCCCCCCCCCCCCCCCCCCCCCCCCCCCCCCCCCCCCCCCCCCCCCCCCCCCCCCCCCCCCCCCCCCCCCCCCCCCCCCCCCCCCCCCCCCCCCCCCCCCCCCCCCCCCCCCCCCCCCCCCCCCCCCCCCCCCCCCCCCCCCCCCCCCCCCCCCCCCCCCCCCCCCCCCCCCCCCCCCCCCCCCCCCCCCCCCCCCCCCCCCCCCCCCCCCCCCCCCCCCCCCCCCCCCCCCCCCCCCCCCCCCCCCCCCCCCCCCCCCCCCCCCCCCCCCCCCCCCCCCCCCCCCCCCCCCCCCCCCCCCCCCCCCCCCCCCCCCCCCCCCCCCCCCCCCCCCCCCCCCCCCCCCCCCCCCCCCCCCCCCCCCCCCCCCCCCCCCCCCCCCCCCCCCCCCCCCCCCCCCCCCCCCCCCCCCCCCCCCCCCCCCCCCCCCCCCCCCCCCCCCCCCCCCCCCCCCCCCCCCCCCCCCCCCCCCCCCCCCCCCCCCCCCCCCCCCCCCCCCCCCCCCCCCCCCCCCCCCCCCCCCCCCCCCCCCCCCCCCCCCCCCCCCCCCCCCCCCCCCCCCCCCCCCCCCCCCCCCCCCCCCCCCCCCCCCCCCCCCCCCCCCCCCCCCCCCCCCCCCCCCCCCCCCCCCCCCCCCCCCCCCCCCCCCCCCCCCCCCCCCCCCCCCCCCCCCCCCCCCCCCCCCCCCCCCCCCCCCCCCCCCCCCCCCCCCCCCCCCCCCCCCCCCCCCCCCCCCCCCCCCCCCCCCCCCCCCCCCCCCCCCCCCCCCCCCCCCCCCCCCCCCCCCCCCCCCCCCCCCCCCCCCCCCCCCCCCCCCCCCCCCCCCCCCCCCCCCCCCCCCCCCCCCCCCCCCCCCCCCCCCCCCCCCCCCCCCCCCCCCCCCCCCCCCCCCCCCCCCCCCCCCCCCCCCCCCCCCCCCCCCCCCCCCCCCCCCCCCCCCCCCCCCCCCCCCCCCCCCCCCCCCCCCCCCCCCCCCCCCCCCCCCCCCCCCCCCCCCCCCCCCCCCCCCCCCCCCCCCCCCCCCCCCCCCCCCCCCCCCCCCCCCCCCCCCCCCCCCCCCCCCCCCCCCCCCCCCCCCCCCCCCCCCCCCCCCCCCCCCCCCCCCCCCCCCCCCCCCCCCCCCCCCCCCCCCCCCCCCCCCCCCCCCCCCCCCCCCCCCCCCCCCCCCCCCCCCCCCCCCCCCCCCCCCCCCCCCCCCCCCCCCCCCCCCCCCCCCCCCCCCCCCCCCCCCCCCCCCCCCCCCCCCCCCCCCCCCCCCCCCCCCCCCCCCCCCCCCCCCCCCCCCCCCCCCCCCCCCCCCCCCCCCCCCCCCCCCCCCCCCCCCCCCCCCCCCCCCCCCCCCCCCCCCCCCCCCCCCCCCCCCCCCCCCCCCCCCCCCCCCCCCCCCCCCCCCCCCCCCCCCCCCCCCCCCCCCCCCCCCCCCCCCCCCCCCCCCCCCCCCCCCCCCCCCCCCCCCCCCCCCCCCCCCCCCCCCCCCCCCCCCCCCCCCCCCCCCCCCCCCCCCCCCCCCCCCCCCCCCCCCCCCCCCCCCCCCCCCCCCCCCCCCCCCCCCCCCCCCCCCCCCCCCCCCCCCCCCCCCCCCCCCCCCCCCCCCCCCCCCCCCCCCCCCCCCCCCCCCCCCCCCCCCCCCCCCCCCCCCCCCCCCCCCCCCCCCCCCCCCCCCCCCCCCCCCCCCCCCCCCCCCCCCCCCCCCCCCCCCCCCCCCCCCCCCCCCCCCCCCCCCCCCCCCCCCCCCCCCCCCCCCCCCCCCCCCCCCCCCCCCCCCCCCCCCCCCCCCCCCCCCCCCCCCCCCCCCCCCCCCCCCCCCCCCCCCCCCCCCCCCCCCCCCCCCCCCCCCCCCCCCCCCCCCCCCCCCCCCCCCCCCCCCCCCCCCCCCCCCCCCCCCCCCCCCCCCCCCCCCCCCCCCCCCCCCCCCCCCCCCCCCCCCCCCCCCCCCCCCCCCCCCCCCCCCCCCCCCCCCCCCCCCCCCCCCCCCCCCCCCCCCCCCCCCCCCCCCCCCCCCCCCCCCCCCCCCCCCCCCCCCCCCCCCCCCCCCCCCCCCCCCCCCCCCCCCCCCCCCCCCCCCCCCCCCCCCCCCCCCCCCCCCCCCCCCCCCCCCCCCCCCCCCCCCCCCCCCCCCCCCCCCCCCCCCCCCCCCCCCCCCCCCCCCCCCCCCCCCCCCCCCCCCCCCCCCCCCCCCCCCCCCCCCCCCCCCCCCCCCCCCCCCCCCCCCCCCCCCCCCCCCCCCCCCCCCCCCCCCCCCCCCCCCCCCCCCCCCCCCCCCCCCCCCCCCCCCCCCCCCCCCCCCCCCCCCCCCCCCCCCCCCCCCCCCCCCCCCCCCCCCCCCCCCCCCCCCCCCCCCCCCCCCCCCCCCCCCCCCCCCCCCCCCCCCCCCCCCCCCCCCCCCCCCCCCCCCCCCCCCCCCCCCCCCCCCCCCCCCCCCCCCCCCCCCCCCCCCCCCCCCCCCCCCCCCCCCCCCCCCCCCCCCCCCCCCCCCCCCCCCCCCCCCCCCCCCCCCCCCCCCCCCCCCCCCCCCCCCCCCCCCCCCCCCCCCCCCCCCCCCCCCCCCCCCCCCCCCCCCCCCCCCCCCCCCCCCCCCCCCCCCCCCCCCCCCCCCCCCCCCCCCCCCCCCCCCCCCCCCCCCCCCCCCCCCCCCCCCCCCCCCCCCCCCCCCCCCCCCCCCCCCCCCCCCCCCCCCCCCCCCCCCCCCCCCCCCCCCCCCCCCCCCCCCCCCCCCCCCCCCCCCCCCCCCCCCCCCCCCCCCCCCCCCCCCCCCCCCCCCCCCCCCCCCCCCCCCCCCCCCCCCCCCCCCCCCC